TCAGTATTATCTTCTGTGTCGCAATGTCGCCTTCGGGTGTGACGACCTTCCACGCGCCTCCCTGGCGTAAAAACCGATGTACGGGACTATGTTCGAAAATGCGGACACCGACACGCCGCAACCCGTCTACCAGCCCGCGAACATACCCCGCGGGCTGAAGCATGACGGTGCCGGGCGTATAGAGCCCGGAAAGATAGTGACGGCTCCCGGTGATCTCCGTCATCTGTGCGGCATCCAGCATGTCAAACGCCTCGCCGAGACCTTGGAGATGTGTTGCATAGCTTTCGTTGTGCTGGACGGCCTTGGCGCTGGCCGCACCGTTGATCTTGCCGGCACGATCAAAGAAATTCGGATTGATGCCGTAGTCTTCAACTGCTTCACCGGCAAAGGCGATCGCCTGCCGGTTCAAGGATGTGATCGCCTGGTCATCGCCCGCACCTGCATAATCTTCCGAATTCAGCTCATGCGGCAGATCGATCATGAAACCTGAATTCCGGCCGGCGGAACTTTCCGCAATTCGGCAGGCATCCAGAACGGCAATTTTCAGGGCAGGATCAATCTGAGTCAGGCGCCTTGCTGCAGACAGCCCCGCAAAACCCGCGCCGATGACGACAACATCGGCGGTTGTCGAGCCTGCCAGGGTCTGAGGCGCGGGCTGGTCCGCCAGTATCCGGTTCCAGGCTGCGGGTCCTGGCAAGTCCGGCAACGTCTTGGCGGACCAGGTTGATGTCATCCGACAGCCTCGTCCTCGTCGTCGGACAGATCCAGCCAGATCGTTTTGATCTGCGTGTACTGGTCGTGGGCAGCAAGGCTGTTGTCCCGCCCGCCAAAGCCGGACTGTTTGAAGCCGCCGAACGGTGTTGCGATATCACCTTCACCGAAGCAGTTGACGGTGACGGTTCCCGCGCGAATGGCACGCGCGCCGCGCAGGGCCTTTTTGGCGTTGGCTGTGAAGATCGAAGCGGCCAGTCCGTATTCGGTGGAGTTTGCCAGCTCGATTGCCTCGTCGAACCCCTTGACGGTCATGACATTCAGCACGGGCCCAAAGATTTCTTCCTGCGCAACGCGTGACCCGCGCGAGGCTTCCAGAATGGTCGGTTCGACAAAGGCACCGTCATGAGCCTTGCCGCCCATCAGTACGGTTGCCCCGGTCTCCAGATAGGAACAGACCTTGCCGAAGTGATCTGATGACACCAGTGCCCCGACCCGGTGCTCGGGATCAAGCGGGTCGCCCATGGTCCATTCCCGGGCATGTGCGAAGATCCGCTCCAGCAATGCGTCCTTGATCTCCTCTTCGACGATCAGGCGTGAGCTTGCCGAGCAGTTTTCGCCCATGTTCCAGAACGCGCCATTAACCACGTGAGCGGCAACGCGGTCGAGATTTTCGGCATCCCTCAAAACGACGCTCGGGTTCTTGCCTCCCATTTCCAGAACCACTTCCTTCAGGTTGCTGTCGGCCGCATACCGCAGGAAACGCCGCCCGGTCTCGGTCGAACCGGTGAAGGAAATCATGTCGACGTCCATGTGCCGGCCGAGCGGTTCGCCGACTTCCGGGCCGGTTCCCGGCACAATGTTCAGGACACCGCGCGGGATACCGGCTTCCATTGCAAGTTCGGCAACGCGCAAGGCGGTCAGTGACGTTTCTTCAGCCGGTTTCACCACGACCGAACACCCTGCTGCCAGCGCCGGTCCGATCTTCCAGGCAAGCATCAGCAGCGGGAAGTTCCAGGGAAGAACTAGGCCGACGACACCGACCGGTTCGCGCACGATCATGGCGATATGATCGTCGGAAGCCGGCGAAACCTGATCATAGATCTTGTCAATGGCTTCCGCGTGCCACTTTATGCAGCTGATCGTTTCGGGAACATCGACAGTTTCGCAGTCGAATATTGTCTTGCCGCTGTCGAGGCTTTCCATCACCGCAAGCTCTCGCCGGTTGCGGGTCAGCAGTTTTGCAAAGCGGATCAGAATGTCCTTGCGTTCCGATGGATGCAGTTTCGACCAGCGTCCGTCGTCAAAGGCTTCGCGTGCTTTCACAACGGCGAATTCGACGTCCTCGGCGGCGCAGGCCGCGACCTCTGCAAGGGTGTCGCCCGTCGCGGGATTGACGGTTGAAAACGTCTTGCCCGAATGCGCGGGCCGGTAACTGCCGTCAATGAACGCGCTGGTCGGCAGAGCAAGTTTGGCCGCGAGCGTTTTGTATTCCTCGCGCGTCAGAAGATCCGTCATGCTCATGCTCCCGCCGTAATGTCTTCAATTGTGGATTTCAGAACCCGGATAACCTGTTCCAGCTGCCGCTTGTCGTCCTTGTTGAGCGCTTTCAGCGGCGGGCGAGGCGGGCCTGCGTCGAGGCCGGTCATTTCGACACCGTGCTTGACGCATTGAATGAACTTTCCACCCTGCTCAAGGACACGCATCAATGGCATCATTGCCGACATGATCCTGCGACCCTTGGAAAAGTCACCTTCAACGGCACAGGCCTTGTAGAGTGCGACATGCTCGTGCGGCAGGAAGTTCGATCCGGCACAGACCCAGCTGCGCGCACCCCAGGCAAAAAACTCCAATGCCTGGTCGTCCATGCCGCAGGACATCTGGATGTGCGGATAATCTCGCGCCAGAAGGTGCACCCGATTGATGTCGCCCGAGCTTTCCTTGATTGCGCAGACATTGCGCGAACGGCCGACGCGGTCGAGAAATTCCTCACCCATGTGGACACCCATCCGGCCCGGGTAGTTGTAGAGCATGATCGGCAGGTCTGCGGCCCTGTCGATGGTCAGTACATTCAGGGCATTTTCCCGCTCCGTGGGCACTGCATAGGGCGGGGTTGCGACAAGAAGGGCATCTGCACCCATTCCAGCGCCCCCTTCGGCGAGCGCGATCGAATCCGGCGTCCGCATGGTGCCGGTGCCGACAATGAGAGGGAGGCGTCCGTCGAGTTTGTCCTTGGTGAACCGGGCAAGTTCAAGACGTTCTTCAACCGTCTGGGTATAGTTCTCGCCGGTTGAGCCGCCGGATATCAAACCCTGCACGCCACTGTCTACCAGATGATCGATCACTCGTTCCAAGGCGCCCCACACGACACGGCCGTCGTCGTCATAGGGGGTGACCACGGGCGTATAAATGCCCTCGAAAGCCATTATGGGTGTCATTTTTTCCTCATGCGGATTTCTGTTTCACCGTTACACCCAGCGGGGCGCCGAGAGGTGCCTCCAGCCCGTCAGGCATCACGAACAATTCGATCTGGTCGCGCGACAGGGCCCAGTGTTCCAGCGCCAGTTCACTTGCCCGGTCCTCGTCGCCGGTTTCGATACAGGCGATCATTTCGTCATGCTGCTGGCAGGCAAGGGCAAGCCGGTCATCCTTCGCACCGGATTTCGGGCGAAAAAACGTCATGGCAATGCGGGTGTGATCGATCAGGAGCCGGTCAAGGCTCGCCAGGAGGTAGCTGTTGCCGGCCATCTGCCCGGTGATCCGGTGGAACTTGTCGTTGGTGAGCGCACGGTCTGTTGTATCGCCTGTTCTCAGGGCGGTCCGGAAGGCTTCCTGCGCGCTTTTGAGATCTTCGATCTGCGAAGGCCTGGCATTTTGAACCGCAAGCCGCAGGACGGCACTGTAGATCAGTGGCGCTGCGAGAAAGAAGTCTCGCAGTGTGTAGTGCGACATGTCGGAGACACGCGCACCGCGGTTCAGCTGCAGCGTGACATAGCCTTCCCCCGAAAGCTGCTGCAGCACCTCGCGCAAAGGTGTTCGCGACAGGCCGTACCGGTCACAAAGCTCGCTCTCCTCCAAAGCACTGCCCGGCTGGCGCTCAAGCGTTAGAATTTCACGCTTCAGATCCTCATAGGCAACCGATTTGGCTGTGCCGCGCACGTTGGGCATGGAACGCTCCGTTTCGATTTTTGTTGACCTGCTTGTATACATGATGAATACAATAGCAACACAATAATTATACAAATGCGCTTGCCGCCTTCATGAGCATGAGGCGACAGAGGCCGGAGAAAAGCGACATGTCCCGCACCATCGACGTCACCTTTCTTTTGCTTGATGATTTTTCCCACATTGCTTTCTCCTGCGCTGTCGAGCCACTCAGGATTGCCAACCTTCTTTCAGGCAAGGAGTTGTATCGATGGCAGCTGGCGTCGCCTTCGGGAGAAAGCGCGACCTGTTCGAACCGAACAGTCACCCTGGTTGATCAGGGTCTTGAGCCCTTGCCGTCAAGAAGCAGTCTTTTTCTGATTTCGGGTTTGAATGTCGGGGAAAGGGCGTCTGCGGACGTTCTGTCCTTCATTCGCCGGGAACGGTCCCGCGGAACCTTGATCGGTGCGATCTGTTCCGGGGCCTTTGTCCTGGCCAAGGCAGGCCTTCTGGATGGCAGGCGTGCAGCAATGCACTGGGCTTTCCATGACAGTTTTCAGGAGAATTTTCCCGATGTCGAGCTGGTGCGCAATGTGTTTGTTGCCGACGAAACCTTCGTTACAGCCTCTGGGGGGACAGCGGCAACAGACCTGATGCTGCACCTGATCGGAGAAACGCACGGGATGGATCTCGCCATGGCGATCGCCGACCAGATGGTCTATTCGGGCGTTCGTCCGGCACATGCCACGCAGCAGATATCCGTGCAGGCGCGCTACGGTATCCGCAATCCGCACATTGCCGAGGCGATCCGGTTGCTCAATGAAAGCGCACCGTATTTCATGCCAACCTCCGAGATCGCACGCCGTATCGGTATTTCAACACGACAACTGGAAAGACTGTTCCAGAAGCATCTGAAGATGTCGCCGAAGAAATACGCGATAAACCAGAAGCTCACCAAGGCCCGGAACCTGCTCCTTCAGACCGAACAGTCGATTTCGGAAATCGCTCTGGCCTGCGGCTACGAGTCTCCATCCCACTTCATTCGTACCTATCAGAACCGCTTCGGCGTGACCCCGCACAATCAGCGGGTCTTCACGCAGGGCGGTCAATCCGTCCACCAGATGGCGTGAATCATCCGGCTTTCCTCACTTCGGATAGATCAGTTCGTCGGCAAACAGCTTCAGTACATTGGCAACGTTGTGGTCGCCCTCGGCACGCGCCTTCTTGGAGATATCCGTTAGTAGGGCGCGGGCAAGCATGGATGGTTTGCCGATGCGTAGCGCAGCCTTGAAGACAGCCTCCGCTTCTGCCTGTGTTGTACCGGTCTTGGCGGCGACGCTCTTGCAATATTCCTCCAGGCCGCGCCTGGCATCCTTCTGCCCCTTGCGCCAGTGGGTTTCCAGCTTGTCGGGGTCCGTCCGCCATTGTTCGGGAGCTTCTTCGTTGCGCTTGACGAATGTCGGACAGCTCACCGGCTTCATGCCGCCGAAGACCCAATAGGTCGTGTAGTAGGCCATGCTGATACCGCCGTAGACCCGTGCGCCGGAATCCATGGCGTGGCCAAGTGCACGATAGAATCCATAGACCATCAGGAAAGGTGCCAGCATACTCATGTAACCGAATACGGTGGCGGCCGCAGAGCCGGCAGCCGCGAATGTGAGCGACATTTTCACGATCTTGAAGCCATTCAGTCCGATTGTGATCAGCTTCTCGCGCTGTTCGACCGTCAGGCCGGCGCCACCATCCGTATAGGCGCCCTTGTTGGCTTTCCAGATGTCTTCCAGGATCTGCCGGTAGTAGGTTTCTTCCTGGGAAGTAATACTCTGTGTTGCCTTGATCTTGTCGATCGTGCTGTCAATGACGTCTTGCTTGGTGATGGCTCCGCCCTTGCCCTTTTCGTCGTCTTCCTCGGGCTGGGGGCCTGGATCGGGCGGAAACTCGGGGATGGACATCTGCGCCCATATACCTTCCGAAGATGGATCGTTCAGCGCGATGATCGTTTTTGCCGCAGGGTCGACACGGGCATCGGGCCAGCGAAAGCCGAGCACGGATTTCTGAAAGTCCTTGATCATCCCTCGGGTCTTCGGACCGGACTGCCCGTCGACCACGAGCGGAATGCGCGGTGAGTGCATGAGGTCGTTGAGCCGTTGCTGGACAGCGACAACGTCCTGCGCGCGGTTCTGGCCACTTCGCCCAACAGAGGCAGTGATCCCGATTGAGGAATAGATCGGCATGGCGGGTATCCCGGAAAAATGTTGCAAATTGCCGCCGGATCTACGTAACCGTTCAGATCAGTTGGCATATGATGATCAAATAATCTTCCAAATATCTACAAAGCGAGGCGTCAAAAGAAGTTTTGATACTCCTTCAACTTAGGAACAGAAATACTCACTTCCAACAATTAGTTTGTATCATTTGTATCTAATGTAACCGGCATGTAAGCCATGTACGGAATGCCCGAATGCATTGCCGAAAACACAGAAAGCCGGAACGCCAGACCGACGCCAGTGTCGTCGCCCGGACGCGCGTGTGACCCTCGGGCAGCAAAAGCGCCTCAAGGAAACACGGCGGCTTTGACCCGAATGCTGCAGGGAATTGTCAAGCGAGTGCGCTAGGCGCGCATGTTTGCCCCGTTCGCGTCATAGATCGGAGATCCCAGGATTTCTGCGTCGAAGAACTCTCCTAGAATTTCTACCTGCAGAGAAGTTCCCGGCGTGCTGTATTCCGTGGAAACATAGCCCATTGCCATCGAACGCTGGACATGGTGCGCAAAACCGCCGGAAGACACATATCCGACGGCAATACCGTCCTTCAGGATCGCCTCATCAGTCGACACGTCTATTCCGTCGACATCGATCGTCATGGTCACGAGCTTCCGCTTGACACCCTCGTCGCGAAAAGCTTGCGTTGCCTTCTTGCCGACGAAGTCCTTTTTCCAGTTGATGAAAATGTCCAAGCCGCTTTCGACGGCGTTGAAATCGGGCCGATAGTCTTGCGTCCACACGCCCCAGCTCTTTTCCAGGCGCATCGACATGAGGGCACGCGCGCCGTACCAGCGATAGCCGAGATCAGCGCCGGCAGCCTCGATGGATTCGGCGAGACGGAGCAGGTATTGAGGGCGGCAATAGATCTCGTAGCCGAGTTCGCCTGAAAAGCTGATCCGGTTGAGAATGACCGGTACGCCGGCGACAAAGCTATGGCGTACATCACGGAACCTGAAGGCTTCCGCCGAAATGTCTTCACGCATCAGCCGCCGTAGCAACTCGCGGGAATTCGGCCCCGACAATGCGACGCCGTGCCAGTCGTCGGACACGTTGGCGTAGGACACATCCTCCGGCAGATCACGCTCGAACCACCGTCGATGCGCTTCCTGCATTGCTCCCGATCCGAACAGCATGAAGTGCCCTTCCTCGAGGCAAGCTACGGTCAGGTCGCCGTAAAGCCGGCCGGCTTCGGTCAGCATCGGCGTCAGCGTCAACCGGCCCGGCTTGGGTACATGGCCTGCCAGAACACGGTCAAGATAGGCACGCGCACCGCTTCCCTTGAATTCATGCTTGGCGAAATTGGCGATCTCGATCCCGCCGACCGCCTCGCGCACGGCATTCACTTCCCGGGCGACATAATCGTGACTGCGATTTCGCTGAAAGGTTGGGTCCTCTCGCGCATCCTCAGGCCCGTCGGCGAACCAGAGCGCATTTTCCAGACCGAAGCCCTGTCCCATCACGGCGCCCCTGGCAACCAGTCGGTCGAACAGTGCAGTCGTCTTCTGACGGCGCCCCCTGGGCAGCGTCTCGTTCGGAAATGTCATGACGAAACGGCGTTCGTAATTCTCGGTCGATTTGACGGTTCCCCAGTCGGGTGTCGCAAAGTCGCCGAAGCGGGCAACATCCATTGCCCAGACATCGATCGAAGGCTCGCCGTCGATCATCCACTCCGCCATGGTCAGGCCGACACCGCCACCCTGGCAGAACCCCGCCATGACGCCGACGGCGCACCAGTAGTTGCGCATGCCCGGCACGGGACCGATCATCGGATTGCCATCGGGGCCGAAAGTGAAGGGACCATTGACGATGTTCTTGATGCCGGCATTGCCCATGGCCGGAATACGCTCGAAGGACATTTCGAGACGGTCCGCAACACGATCGATATCCGGTGGCAGCAATTCATGACCGAAGCTCCAGGGGGTTCCGTCAACCATCCAGGGCGTGCCCTTCGGTTCGTAGGTCCCGAGCAGCATGCCGTGACGCTCCTGACGGAAATAGATATTGGCTTCATAGTCGATCCCGGCAGGCAGTCTCCCCGGCTCGCCCTGCTTCATCCTTTCCTCGATCTCCGGGATCGTTTCGGTGATCAGATAGTGGTGCTCCATGGGCTGCACCGGCAGGTGCACGCCTTGCATGATGCCGACTTCCCGAGCCCACAGGCCACCGCAATTGACGATATGTTCGGCGTTGATGACGCCTTTGGGAGTGGTCACATCCCAGGATCCGTCCGTGCGCTGCGTCGTTGCGGTTGCCGGCGTGTGGGTAAAACAACGGGCGCCGTGATGTTGCGCTGCCTTGGCGAAGGCATAGGTCGCGCCTGACGGGTCGAGATCACCGTCCTGATCGTCCCACAGTGCTGCGTGGTAGTGTTTCGGGTCGATCAGTGGATGGCGTTCTGCAACTTCCTTGGGACTGATGAACTCCTGGGAGAGGCCCATGTAGCGCGCCTTGGAACGTTCACGCTTGAGATAATCGTACCAGTCCCTGGTCGATGCCAGGTAGAACCCGCCGGTGATGTGAAGCCCGACACTGTGCCCGGAGATCTCCTCGATTTCCCGGTAGAGTTCAATTGTGTAGGACTGCAGGCGCGAGATGTTCGGGTCGGAACTGATAGTATGAATCTGTCCTGCCGCGTGCCAGGAGGATCCGGATGTCAGCTCGTCACGTTCCAGGAGCACGACATCCTTCCAGCCGAATTTCGCCAGGTGAAACAGGATCGAGCAGCCGACGACCCCGCCGCCGATCACGACGACCCGCGCGTGACTTGGCAGTTTCTTGCCGCCACAGGTTTCGTCTTTCTGGATCTCGGGCATCTCGGATCTCCTCAATCGAGTGGCAGTCGCCTGAACCGGCCAGGCAGTGCGGGGTCGCGAAAATGGTCGAGTGGCCCGTTTTCGACCAGGTGCCGGTGCCAGTGCGCCAAGGCATCACGGTCAAGTGTGACACCAAGCCCGGGTCCTTCGGGAACGGCGATCACATTGTCGGTCTGCCGGAATGGGCCACCCTCGATGACGTCACCGACCTGCCAGCGGAACAGGGATTGGCTCGGCTCGGTTATCCAGGGCATGGCTGCAGACATGTGCAGATAGCCGGCGGTCGCGATCCCGGCATCACCGGAATAGCACCAGAAGCCGACACCCATGGCTTCGCAGGCGCCGATAAAGCGGACAGTCCTGGAGATACCGCCAAGCACCGCGAAATTTGTGACAATGTAGTCCGGTGCGCCAAGTGCGACGGATGTCCGGAGCATGCGTCGATATCCGGATGGAGGAATGCCTGCGGAGTTCGGCCATCTCCTCGAATGTGGCGACCGGGTCCTCGTAGTTGCGGATGTCGAATGGTTCGATTTCACGGAAGATCCGGATCGCACTCGGCAGCGACCATTGCATGTTGCTGTCCAGCCTGATCATGTCTTGCGGCCCGAGCGCAGCACGCAGTCTCCTGACGGTTTCGATTTCCAGGTTCGGGTCACCCAGTATCAGCTTGCCTTCGAACATGGTGGCACCGTGTTCCTCGCGCATGCGGACGCAATAGTCGGCGATCTCCTCCGGACGCATTTCTCCGCCCTCGCGAAAGGCGAAGTATTCTGTGAAGGGGATGTTCTTGCGCACAGCACCGCCAAGAAGACGATAGAGCGGTTCGCCCGTGACTTTGCCCCGCAGGTCCCACAGGGCGATTTCGATGGCACCGAATGCCTTGACCACGGAACTGTCGTCCGTGTTCTGCACGATCTGCCAGGGCGGTACGCAGAGGTTCTCGCAACCTGCAATATCCAGCGGATCTTCTCCGATCAGCCGTTCACCCATTTCCCTGATGGTCGAAAGCACATCGACCGACGGCGCTTCTCCAAGACCGACAAGGCCCTGATCGGTCTCGACCTCGATAACGGTCTTTGACGTGCCGGGATAATGTCCGCCGGTCCACCACATCGGTTTTTCCAGCGGGATATTGACGGGCGTCGCCCTCAGGCCGGTGATCCTAATACCAGGCATCGGGCAACTCTTCCTTTCGCCTGGCAACAAATGCTTCCAGCTCCTCACGTGTCGCCTCGTCCATCTTCGGTGGCTGGTAGTCGGCGAGCATGGTCTGCCAGCGTCCAAAGGCGCGTTGGCGCATGTCCTTCGAGCCACCTTCCTCCCAGCTCTCGACATTTTCACTGTCGGAAAGCTTCGGCTCGTAAAACGCCGTCTGGTAGTTCCGCATGGTGTGAGCCGATCCAAGAAAATGACCACCGGGTCCAACTTCGCCGTAGGCATCCCTCGCGAAGGCTTCCTCCGACGTGTCGAGGCCGCCCGATAGGACCTTTTGATACGACCCGAGACGATCGGCATCCATGATCAGCTTTTCAAATCCGGTACATAGGCCCCCTTCGAGCCAACCGGCGGCGTGCAGCACGAAATTGGCTCCTGCCAGCATGGTGGAATGCATTGAGTCGGCGCTTTCATAGGCGGCCTGTGCGTCCTCGATCTTGGAAGCGGTCAACGAGCCTCCACACCGCAGTGGCAGGCCGGCACGCCGTGCAAGTTGGCCGATGACAAAGTTCGAAACGACAGGTTCGGGCATGCCGAAGGTCGGGGCCCCGCTTTTGAGGCTCATGGAGCTGAGAAAATTTCCAAGTACGAAGGGTGCACCGGGCCACACGATCTGCGAAAAGGCGCAGACCATCATCGCTTCGGCCATTGCCTGGCAGACCGAAGCTGCTGTCGAGACCGGACCCATCGCGCCGGACAATATGAACGGCACGACGACAATTCCCTGACCGCGTCCGCAATAGGCACGCACTGCCTCGCTTGCCACCTTGTCCACCAGGAGTGGAGAGTTGGTGTTGACGTTGCCCATGATTACGCAGTTTTGCGCCATGACCTCCTGACCGAAGACGATTTCAGCCATGTCGACACTGTCCCTGGCCCGGCTCATTTCGGTAATTGCGCCAAGGTGTGGTTTGTCGCTGAGCGTCATATGCGCGAATAGCATGTCGAGGTGGCGTTTGGATACCGGCACATCACAAGGTTCGCACGTGACGAAACCGCCATGGTGCAGAAAGGGATGCATATAGGTGAGCTTCACCAGCTTCTCGAAACTCGCGATATCTCCGTATCGGCGCCCACCTTCCAGATCGCGGACAAAGGGGGATCCGTAGACTGGTGCGAACACCTGGTTTTTGCCACCAATGACGACGGACTTTTTCGGATCACGCGCCAGCTGCGTGAATTCGCGGGGAGCAAGGGCACAAAGCGAGCGGATCCAGGCCGCGTCGGCACGCACGATGTCGCCGTCGATTTTCGCACCGGCGTCTCTCCAGATCCGCACTGCTTCCCGATCATCGCGAAAGGCAACGCCGACATCCTCGAAGATCCAGTCGACCTGGGCTTCCAGGGCGGCCAGCCGCTCTTCGTCCAGGAGATCAAAATAGGGAAGCACACGTTTGACAAACGGGGCTGCCACCTGTGTGTTTTCAACGCGGCCGCGCGCCGCGCGCGAACGTCTCGCCATCCTGTCACCTTTCACTGGACCAATCCTGTGACGCTACTGTTTTCGAGGCATGTTGTGACGATTGAAAAAGGTCACTCTATGCATAAACTGAAGTTATGCAGAATCTATGGAAGATCGTCGGTTCTCCGCGCTACATTCTCATTTTCGAGGCCGCTGCCAGGCATGGCTCGTTCACCCGGGCGGCTGCAGAACTGAATGTCCAGCAACCGGCCGTCAGCGCAGCGGTCAAACGGCTTGAGCAGGCTCTCGGTGCTCCACTCTTCCGCCGGTCGCACAAGAAGGTGGAGCTGACACCGGCCGGAGCCCGGTTCTATGCGGAAACGTCCAAGGGGTTGCATCAGATCCTTGAAGCGGCGCATGCAGTCCAGGCGGGAGCCCGGAACGCTATCGTCACCCTCTGTGCCTCGACCGCCTTCAACACCTACTGGATGATGCCGCGTCTGAGAACCTTGCGTGACCTGCACCCGAATATCGACCTTCGCCTGCAATCCAGCGACCGTGAGCCGGATATAGACGATGGCGGCATCACACTGGCGATACGGCGGGGCGACGGGCGTTGGCCGGGATGTCACGCCGCGCTGATTGCCGAGGAGACTATCTACCCGATTGCCAGTCCCGCTCTGATGACGGCTGCTGAGCTCCGGCACAAGGCGGATATTCTCGGTCATACGCTGATCCACCTGGAAGAACCCGTCCGTGAGCGCCCCAGCTGGAAGGACTGGTTCGATGCGCAGGGATGCAATGTTGCGATCCCGCCTTCAGGCTTGCGTTTGAACGACTACGCCCTGGTTCTGAATGCCGCCATTTCCGGTGAAGGCATTGCATTCGGGTGGAACCATCTGGCTCGTCCGCTGGTCAGGAAGAAGCTGCTTAATGCCCGAATGGACTGGAGCTGGCGGACTGGCATGGGATTTTATCTCGTCTGGTCGAAATCCCGTCCTCTGAGTGAAAATGCAGAACGCGTGCGGAAGTGGTTCGTGTCCGCGGCTGCGATCGAGTGACCGAATTCTCACAAGGGTCAGTTTTTCGGCGACCTAAACAGCGGGTGCGCCATACGGAGGTCGCTGTGGCTAATGTCACGATGTTAAAACCCTTTTCCAGTCGGTTTTTTGTTTTCGCATCTGCCGGACACCGCTGCAAGGCCAGCAAGACCCGACAGGATCGACGCACCGGCGCCTGGCAATTGAGCAGCGACAGTTGGATTGACAACGAGAACCCCGATCATGGCTGCTACTGCAAAGGGGAAGGCCTCAACATCACTGAAACGGGTAACAAACAAGTAATTGATGTAAGCTCCATCTGCGAACCCGTAGTCGGACGCGTCAAAAGAGGCATTTCTGCCGCCATCGGATGCAATTCGTTTCGACCCTGAAACGGCGAAGGTCCCCCACCGGACAGCGAAAATCGGTTACAACGCCAAGATTGACTCCGAAACTGGGTGAAAGGAGCACAAATCGTTGCCAGCAATTACACCGCTTGCGTCAAAGGTCGTTTGAACAACAAACGCGGTGCCGACAACTGCAGCATCGTCGAATGTCAAATCTGCATCTGTCACCGGTGCTGCTTGGGCGACGCTCGCCCATGCCATGACCGCAGAGACAGCAACAAAGATTGGTTCATTTGAAACTCCCGGAACTTCCGCAAGTTTCGAAAGGAACAGTGTTAGGGTGGTTATGGGAACAAGTCTCCACGTTACCCAAATGGGTAAAGCAATCGGCGAGAAAATGTGGAAGTTTTCGGGTGAGTGATTGTAAGCAAGGTATTTTAAATTGCCGGGTAATTTGCATTCAGAATTCCAGCGAGTGTTTTCCGTTCTTCCGGATGACCTGGTGCAAGCTGCCTCAGACGAAGCCCTGAGAAGATTGAAGTCGGAGCAACATGAGGTCAATCCAACGCTGAAGTGGGCCGATTTCACCAGATCCGGCCGGTTTCTGCGTGGGGGTTCCACTACGTTGTCGGATTACCTGACCCGTTTCGTCAGCGAGCCCTCGAGCGATCTTGTCCTCGGCGAAATGGCAAGTGTCGTGGCAGACGGTGGCGCGGAGGCGGGGCGGGTCCTGTACCAGCGAGACACAAACACGTTCTTCTGGTTCCTGCCTGTGCATGATGCACCGACCCACTCCGGATCCACGCCATTCGTCCGCGGTTTCAGGATCAATCAGGAGACATTCGATTCAGTCGTCATGCACTTCAACAGCGGGCGCGGATTGACGGCATCAGAGCGACGTGTGGCCTTTCAGTTGCTGGGCGGCTTGTCACTTCGCGAAGCATCTGAACTCGACGATGTCGGGATAGAAACCAAACGTGCGCACATCAAAAGTGCGTCCGCAAAGATGCAGTGCAATGGCCAACTGGATCTGGTGCGCATTCTGCTGGGGCAGATGGTGCATGTTCTGAATCTCTCCAACGACGTTTCGCAGCAGGCAAAGGTCATCGAGGGATTTCTGGCGGACCATATCAAGCAGGGCGCTTCACTCCTGGTACGAAGCAGAGACGATGGCGAAAAGATCTATGTGATCGAGATTGGGCCCGAGACCGGAATCCCGGTGCTCGTTTGTCATGGAATGATGTTCGGTATGCTGATTTCCGGCGTGCTGGAGGATTTGTGCACCCATGGCATCCGTCTGGTTATCCCGGTGCGCCGCGGATATCTCGATGCACGCCCTGTTCTGGGGCTCCGGGCAAAAACGCACCATGTGGAAGCCAGCCTGAAGGACCTAGAGTTCCTGATGCGAAACATGCCCTCGGGTCAGAGGTTTCTCCTTGGGCAATCCTTTGGAGGTGCCCTGTCGCTTGAATTTGCAAGTCGCTTCCCGGACCTGGTCGATAAACTGATACTCGTCTCGACAAATCTTGCGCACGCAAATCCGGACAAGGAAGGCATCGCGAGCAATCTCTACAACGCATATCGGCGGTTGATCGAAACAGAAAGTCTTGCGCGTTCGGTGACACTGGAATTCAGTGCTCACTACCCTGACGAAAACCGGTCACGCTGGATCTTGCATCGCATGTTCAGCGCGAGTGCGTCGGACCTGGATGTATTGGAAGGCAAGGGCAATGCATCGCCCGTGTATGGATGGTTTTCCGAATTGTACCAGACATCGGTGTCCGGAATTGCCGAAGACTATTCCTTCGCGCTGCAGCGCCTTCGGCTTCCAGGTCAAACCAAGGCAAAGCTCCTGATTCTGCATGGAAGCGAAGATCCCCTGACCGATCTTGAAGATGTCAGGGAGGTGGTGTCAGACCGGCCGGATGCGCTGGTTCTGCCAGTTGAGGGAGCCGGACATTTTCTTTCCGCATCCCACAGCGACAGTTTGTGGAAACATGTAAGGCAGCACGTCCAGTAGGCTGCGCGTATCAATTGAACGTGCCATCTGGTTCCCGGTTGATCCTGCAGCCTTGGAACAATGCTGGTTGATTGGAGCTACCTGGTGGCCGGTTAAGGTTTGCTCCAATTCAGCAAGGTTCAACAAGCCTTTAACCGGGGGAAATCATCTGGTCCGGGCGGACGAGCCGGTCAAATTCCTCGGCGGTGACATAACCCAGGTTGAGAGCCTCTTGCCGCAGCGACGTGCCGTTCTTGTGCGCGGTTTTCGCGATCTCGGTTGCCTTGTCATATCCGATGGCAGGTGCCAGTGCAGTCACCAGCATCAGCGATCGTTCCATCAGGGCCTTGATGTTGTCTTCGTTTGCCGTGATGCCGGCAACGCAGCGATCGGTAAAACTGATGCATGCGTCCGACAGCAACCGGATCGATTGCAGCATCGCGTAGGCCATGACGGGCTTGTAGACGTTCAGTTCGAAATGGCCCTGGCTGCCGGCAATGGACATCGTCGTCTCGTTGCCGAAGACCTGCGCGCACACCATGGTCATGGCTTCGCACTGGGTCGGGTTGACCTTGCCCGGCATGATGGACGACCCGGGCTCGTTTTCGGGTAGCGACAGTTCACCAAGCCCGGAGCGCGGTCCGGACCCCAGCAGCCGGATGTCGTTCGCGATCTTGAAAAGGGACGTCGCAACGGTGTTTAGCGCGCCATGCGCATAGACATAGGCATCGTGTGCTGCAAGTGCCTCGAACTTGTTGGGTGCGGTCCGGAAAGGCAGGCCGGAAATGGTTGCGACTTCTGCGGCAAATTTCTCGGCGAAGCCCTTTTTGGTGTTGAGGCCGGTGCCAACGGCCGTCCCCCCCTGCGCAAGTTCATAAAGGCCGTCGGATGCTTCGCCGACGCGGCCGATTCCTTTTTCGATCTGAGCGGCATAGCCGCCGAATTCCTGACCAAGCGTGAGCGGCGTCGCATCCTGGGTGTGGGTTCGCCCGATCTTGACGATATCCGCCCATTCTTCCGACTTCGCGCTCAGGGCCGCCTTAAGGTGGGCAAGGGCGGGCAGGAGAGACATCTGGATTTCACGAGCGGCGGAAATGTGCATTGCCGTTGGAAACGTGTCGTTGGACGACTGGCTCATGTTGCAATGATCGTTGGGGTGCACAGGTGTCTTCGACCCGATCTTGCCGCCAAGTATTTCAATCGCCCTGTTGGCGATCACTTCATTTGCATTCATGTTCGATTGCGTGCCCGACCCGGTCTGCCAGACAACCAGCGGGAAATTGTCGTCAAACTTTCCGGTGGCAACCTCGCCGGCGGCCTGATCAATGGCCGCTGCCAGATCCGGTGCCAGCTTGCCCTGGTCCTTGTTCACCCGTGCCGCGGCCTGTTTGATGATCCCGAGTGCATGCACCAGCGGCAGCGGCATGGTTTCACCGCCGATCGGAAAGTTGATGAGCGAGCGGGCTGTCTGCGCGCCGTAGTATTTGTCACCCGGAATATCCAGAGCACCGAACGAGTCGCTTTCCTTGCGGTCTGGTTTGGACATGATCACCTCTTGCAAACTGGGAGTTTCAGGTCGAATTTGACTGGTGTTTCAGGAACTGGCTTCAAGATCGTCCGGGCTTGTTCCATCGACAGGGTTCGGGAAATTGCATTTGTCCGTATGAACCCTGTTCGAGCGCAACCGGTTGAATTGACACCGGCCGCAAAACTCACTGTGCAGTATGTGCACGCATTTGATCTGGAATACGACCCTTAAATTTGCAGCGTGACCGACTTTGATCATTGGCGCAGCCGTTTCACCGGTGGCCGCAGCCTTTGTGACGACGAGGCGTCAGCAGTGGACTGGATCGGACATGGAACCTCATGCCATGATCCGTGTGTCTTGCCGTCACGGCGGTGGCGACCTGGCTCTCTGCCAATCCGAACAAGGAGGACCGACATTTGAAAGTGGAAATTGATCCGGGCCGGATCATTGAGGTGTTGCACATTACAGACACCCATCTGGCTCCTGAAACAGCACCGTCTGTCCCGCCGAAATCGTTGGCTGATGCCGCAGCGATGCTGAATGGATCGACAACGGATGAAACCTTTGAACGCATTCTGGAAAGCGTCTCGGATGTCGGGTTTGATCTGGTTCTGCACACCGGTGACCTGCTGGAAAATGCCGATGAAGCGGCATATGAAAAAGCGCTCGATCAACTGGCGCGGCTCGAAAGACCGCTGCTTGTCTCACCCGGAAATCATGATGATCCGGCGATGCTCGGCGCGAAACTGCAGCAAAACGGAATCGAAAGACGCTGCATTGATGCAGGGAATTGGCGAATTGTCGTGCTCGATTCCAATTTGGGCGACCAGGGCGGGCTATTGGGTGAAGCTGAACTCTTGACACTCGGCGGGTTGGCAAAGGAGTGGGACGGGCACGTCCTGGTAGGTCTTCATCATCCGCCGCTTTCAACCTGCGCGGACCCTGATTGCACACTTGCAGATGCCGACGCGTTCCTGGATGTCGTCAACAGCGCAGGGAATGTTCGCGCCGTTGCAAGCGGTCATCTTCATTCCGCATCGGAGACTGAACGCACCGGCGTCAAATATCTTCTCGGTCCTTCAACATGTCTGCAGCTGGTTCATGAACATCCACTGCCCGAACACAATCGAACGCCCACAAAAGGTGGCTTGAGACGAATACAGCTGCTGCCAACGGGCGAGGTGCACTCGAAGCTTCACTGGATATGAACCTGTTTCGAAAACACCGTCATTTTTGTTGGCAGGGCTGTGCCCGCGTCACCGCGACAAGCTATTTCCGTGTCTGCAGGCTGAATAGTCACGATGGCGGACCACTTCCGTAGCGGAGGATCACGCCGTCCTTGCCAGTGTGAATGTTCTGGCCTGTCTCGTCCTCCTGGACCGCAACCTTACCATCAGAGAATCTCAGTGATCCTGGGATGTTCGGGTGAAGTCGAACGGATCGAATTCTGCTACCGCGAAATGGAACACTGACACAATTCGATCATGAGGCCCTGTCGATTTCTGTTTCGGTGATCTGATTGATCAGAGGAAAAACGGAAGGGTGCGCGCGTCCTGCATTTGTACAAAGGCCCCAAATTCAAACGTCACCTCAGGTTCTACGTCCCAGAAAGGTCGCATGACTGGATCGCGGGCCCGCAACTTGTTTTTCGACCGTTTTTCGCCATGCTCCCGCAAGCCGATGCTCGTTGGCGATCGAGTAGATGTCCGGCAAGAACGGTCGGTGTCCAATACTATTGTGATAGGCCGACCGGAAGCGGGTGTTCTGCAAGAAGTGTCGACAATTCCGGCCTTGCTTTCACGACTGCGGCAGTTTGCTCAAAATTTTGCGGCTGCAGGCATCCATCGCGCCACAGTGCCTTGCCATCGAAGGCAATTGTCGGATCCAGAACCATCCAGCAGATTTCGCCCGGAGGCGAGCTTCCGCATGTGTGAAAGTGCAGAAAGCGCGGATTTCCGAAAATATTGTTTGACCAACGGTCAGGATCATCATCGATATTGCCTTCATAGAAACATGCCGGATGAATGCCGGCATGCCACGAGTGAATGGCATCCTTATCGAGATCAAATTGATCCGCTACCTTGAAATAGTGGTCTTCAATTGTCTTGACGCTGTGCCGGTCACCCTCAAATCCTACAATTCGCCCCCGGTCGACATGCGCCATAACAACACCGTCGATACGCACAGATGCGGGTGAATAAGATCGCGAACCGGTGGGTGTCAGCCAGCGCTTCAGCGCCACCTGACCGCTGATCGAACGTGTAAGGACTGGCTGCGGTACGCAGAGGGGAAATCTCTTGACCGAGACTTCTCCATCAACAACATCCTCCATCTCTACCCGGCCTTCCAGGCGCGTGCCCAGGGGACAGCTGATCGACACGCGATCCGAAGCTCGTGCCACCGCGTCGACTGACGTCTTCATCGCAACCATGGCATCATGGTTTGTGGCCGCGTAGGCGGATTTCAGTGACTTCTGGTTCCGCACATAGAGCATGGCAACATTTTTGCCGGGCAGTTTGTCGGCAAACCTGTCCTGATCACCGATACGGGCGAGAAAAACAATCGTATCGTGTGCAGCCAACTGGTCTTCATAGTCCGCCGGGAGTGTGTCGTCAGGGGCGCCGACAAGAATTTTCGATACACGGCACCCGGACTCCTCAAGAGCGGTCTTGATAAGGCCGGGAGCCGCTGTGTCGTACCAGCCGAGCGCCGGATTCTCGCAAACAATCAGAACGAAGTCACCGGCCTTCACCTTCATGCAATTCTGCAGAAGGTTTTGGACGCCGCCTTTCGTTTTGAAAGGTGTCCTCATCGCTGCACCTCGGCCTGCACTGTCAGGAATCTGAATTCAGGTGTGTGCACTGACAGGATTCCATGACGCATCTCGGCATCGACGCAAATGCTGTCTCCCGCCCGCAAGGTGAATTCCTGTTTCCCATAGCCGTACACGGCCTCTCCCTCGAGTGCGTGAACGAAGACGACACCATTGCCCACGTAGACCGGCGGAATGGCCTCCTGGCGTTTTAGTGTCACGATGCGGGCGCCGAACTGCAGATCACGCCGCAGATGAATCGCGAGGTTTTCGTATTCATGAACATGTTCGTCGACGATACGGGTCGATTTGAGGCCTGCACCGTTTTCAACAAACGTGTAGTCCGTGTAATTCGATGTTGTTTCACGAAACAGGCTTACAAGAGGAATTTTCAGTGCGGTGGCCAGCGCGCTCAGCGTTGAAATCGACGGTGAGACCTGTCCGCTTTCGATTCGGCTTATCATCGCGCCGGAAACGCCGGACAGTGCGGCAAGATGCCTGGCGGAAAATCCGTTTCGAAGTCTGAAATCCTTGAGTGCGGCGCCGATTGCAGCGTCGATGTCATTGTTCATATTCACTCGGTTTTCCGGTAGGCGAAGGCGCGGTCAAACCGCCACTGAAGGTATTCACCGCAGGTCGTGGCACTTTCGGCAGGCATATGACCGGCACCGAAGATTTGTCGCGCATCAATAACGGTTTCAGGGTTCGGATCAAATGCCAGCACCAGCGAAAGACGTTCCCGACCGGAGCTGTTCACGACCCTGTGCGGGGTCGACTTGTAGGCGCCGCCGGTCCACCGGGCAAGAAGATCGGCAACGTTGACGATCAGGGTTCCCTCGATGGGGGGAGCCTGCAGCCATTCGCCGTCAATGTTCTCGATCTGGAGACCGCCGACAGCGTCCTGGCACAAAAGTGTCAGGACGCCGAAATCGGTGTGGGGACCAACGCCGAACTGGTCGGCCCCCATGTCTTCCGGTTGGGCCGGATAGTAGACGAACGAAGCCCTGCTCAACGGACGTGAGGCTGTTTTGAGGAAAAATCCCTCTTCAAGTCCGAGACCGAGCGCGAAACCGCGCATCAGATGATGCGCCACCTCATGCGCCTGGCGGAAATAGTCCATGGCCGCCGGTTCGACATCCGGAAGGAACTCGGGCCACTGGTTGCGGCCTCTGAGCGGATGATCGGCAACGGTGTCGCCGTTTTCATCTTGCATGCCCCAAACGAAGCTCTCCTTCAGGTCCGCCTTCAACTTGTCGCCCATTTTGGCGCCACCCGAAGCCAGCCATCCGCGATGGCTGGCGGACACACGTACGGTTTCTTTCTGCTCCGGTGGGCTTCGAAAAAAGTCGAAGGCAAGGTTGCGGGCTGCCGAGATGCAGGTCTCCGGAATGCCATGACCGCTGATATAGATGAATCCCAGACCGGTGCTGGCCGCGTGCAGATCTTTGGCCACCGAATGCGGATCGGTTCCGTCTCGCAGGGAAGTGATATCAATGACCGGGATCTCGTTCGAGTCCATCGGTTTGGCTTCAGCGTAGACCATGTTTCTGCCTGTCATTAGAAGAATTATTGCATTCTATGCAAAAATTTTATCCATATGCAACTACTTCGATGCGTAATATCCGACAGTATCTCCGTCTGTCGTGACCCCGAGGCCGTTCAGATGCCTGTTCACATAATTGAAATAGCCGATGATCTGGTTGGCCTCCAGGATCTGGCCGTCATCCGCGCCGAGATCACGCAGGGCGTCAACATCCGATTTGGTCATGTCGGCCGGGCGCAGCGTAAGCTTTTCGGTGTAATGCAACAGCTCCAGTTCGAGGCCTGAAAATGCATCTTCAGGCTGCCGTGCAGTGAGAGCCTTTTCAATTTGATCCGCCCGTGCGTCGTCGCCGATCAGATGACGCGCATTTGCCCAATGATTGGCAAGCGAATACGGGCAGCCGTTCAGGATCGAAACATATGATGAAATGGTTTCCTGAAGCCATTCGGGCAGCGTGTTGGCGTCATCGTGCAGCGCGGCCCGGTAGAGGATGACATGGCCCTTCATTGAATTGGGCCGCAGGGAATGCACGCGCATCACATTGTCGACCGTGCCGTGCGGTGTTCGCGCTAGCTGAAGCACTTCCGTCAATTCGGCATCTGCGTCCTCGTCGGAGATCATTTCGATCCAGGCTGCCATGGTATCTCCTAACCACGTTGATCTGACTGCAATTTACGCTCCAGCCAGCGGACACCGGCCGAAACGATCAAAATCAGGACAAGGTACTCAAGAACAAGCACCGTATAAATTTCCAGGGGCCGGTATTCAACGACGACGAGTTCGTTCGCTTTTCGGGTAAGTTCCTGCATCCCGATCACAGAGACGAGGGAAGACATTTTCAGCATGTAGACCAGCTGGTTCCCAAGTGCAGGAAGTATCCGGCGCACGGCCTGCGGAAGAATGACGTACATCATCATGTCTGTGTAGCTGAGCGAAATGGAGTGTGCGGCCTCGTACTGGCCCTTGTCGATTGACTGAATGCCTGCGCGAAAGATTTCGGCTTCAAACGCGCTGTCGGAAAGGGCAAGCGCGATCACGCCAGCCCAGAAAACCGTGATGGACAGCCCTGTCATCTGAGGCAGTCCGTAGTAGACCCAGAGGATCAAGACCAGAATGGGTACGGCTCTGACCAGTTCCACGTAGACCCTGTTGAACCGCCTGAGTGCCCGACTGGCCGACAATGCCGGCAACGCCACAGCAAGGCCTATGACGATGGAAATCACGATTGCCGTGAAGGACAGAAGGAGCGTGTAGTAAAGCCCGCTCAGTAGAAACTTGAGATTGTTCCATCCTGCAGGCACCGTCGGATCAACCACATACCAGCCCCAATTCCCGGAGCAGCCCGTGAGCAACAGGGTCAGGCAGCAAAGACCTGCAAGTCGGCAGAATGTCATCTGGCCCTCTTTCTGTCTCAATGCGCGAGAATTTTTGAAAGAAAGTCCCGGCACCGTTCTGTGCCGGGATTGCTGAAGAACTGTTCCGGCGGTGCCTTTTCGACGATCTCGCCATGATCCATGAACACCATTGTGTCGGCGACGCGTTTCGCAAAGCCCATTTCGTGGGTTACGCAAATCATCGTCATTCCGCTTCCCGCGAGCTCGGACATGACATCAAGAACCTCGTTGATCATTTCCGGATCGAGTGCGGATGTCGGCTCATCGAACAACATGATTTGCGGTTCCATACATAGCGATCGGGCAATGGCAACCCGCTGCTGTTGGCCACCGGAGAGCTGCCGGGGAAACTTGTCTGCCTGTTCGGGAATGCGAACTCGCTCCAGATAAGCCATGGCGAGTTTGTCGGCGTCCGGTTGCGACAGTTTTCGGGTTCTGACCGGTCCGAGTGTCAAATTCTGCTTGACGGTGAGGTGCGGAAACAAATTGAATTGTTGAAAGACCATTCCGACCGAGGAACGTACTGCACGCAAACTCGAGCTTGTATGTGTCAGTCTGTTGTCCGCGACTTCAATCAGGCCCTCGTCGTGCCGTTCAAGCCCGTTTATGCATCGTATCAACGTTGACTTGCCGGAGCCGGATGGTCCGCACACCACCACCTTTTCGCCCGTAAGCACTTCAAGGGAAACGTTTTTCAGGGCGTGAAAGTCACCGAATGTCTTCGAAACATTTTCAACTTTGATCATGGCCTTCGCGGACAAATTCAACATTGCACAAAAGGAAGTCTTGACCATTAGTTAGTCATGTATTTGAGTGTAGTGCAATAAATTTATCAACTGGCAAAACTGCAGTGCACAACGGACCATTACCTCATCCTGAGAGGAGAACGGCATGAAACTGATCAAGACAACAGCCACGCTTTGCTTTCTGGCACTTGCCACCCTTCCGGCAACGGCTCAATCAGCGCTCAACGACATTCTGAACAACGGTGTTCTTAAGGTCGGCACCACCGGCGACTGGAACCCCATGACGATGAAGGACGTCGCGAACAACACCTATACCGGTTATGACATCGACGTCATGACCGAACTGGCAAAGGATCTCAATGTCGAGGTCGAGTTCGTTCCGGCGGACTGGAAAACGCTGGTCAGCGGTGTCACCGCAGGCAAATATCACCTCACCGGATCGGCGTCTGTTTCTCCCGCACGGGCGAAGGCGGCCGGATATTCCACGTCCTATTTCTCGCTGGCAACCGTCCCGCTCATTCTTGAAACGAGTGCGGAAAAGTTCAAGGACTGGGACGATCTCAACAAGAGCGATGTAACCGTCGCGGCAACGCTCGGCACCACCCAGGAAAAACAGGTCAAGGACTTCTTCCCCGATGCGCAGCATCAGATCGTCGAAGCGCCGGCGCGTGATTTTCAGGAAGTGCTGGCGGGACGCGCCGACGCGCATATCACGTCCAACGTCGAAGCACTCAAGCTCGTTGAAAAATACCCGCAAATGATGATCGTGCCGGTGAGCGCACCCAAAGCGCCGACCCCAATTGCAATGCTGCTGCCACAGGGCGACCAGGTATGGATCAACTATGTAAACACCTGGATTGCCCTCAAGGAAGAGCGCGGATTCTTTGATGCCCTGGGCAAGAAGTGGCGCCTCAAGGAATAGGTCTTGAACGCCGACAACGCGGAGAGGGGCATTCGAACCGGAATGCCTCGCCACCTTACATGTTAAAGCTGTTCGCCATCCCCGTGAGCCTTTACTGCGCCAAGCTTCGCATCGCGCTCCGTCACAAGGAACTGGTTTGGGAAGAAGTACCTCCGCCAGGCGGCTACGGGTCTCAAACCTACAAAGATCTCGTTCCCGGCGGCAGTTTGCCCGCCCTGGAGCATGACGGACATTTGCTGAGCGACTCCGAAGCAATTGCCGAATACATCAATGAAGTGTGGCCCGCGCCCGAGATGTTGCCGGGCGACAGCCTTGAGCGCGCCCGAATTCGCGAACGGTCAAGATTTCACGACACCCGGATTGAACCGGCCTTGCGTGCGCTCTTTCCGATGATCGGGCGCGGTCCCGATGACCAGGCTGTTTCTGAAAAGTGGGATGCCCTGGCCGGAAGACTGGCGCAAATGGAAACACTGCTCCCGGAGACCACACCCCGGCTGACACTTGCTGATTGCGGTATGCCGGTCACCTGCCGGTGGATCAACGAACTGACGGAGCATTTCCGGACGGCTCCCGTCCTGGGTTCCCGCATGCAGCGCTACCTCCAGGGCCTGAACGCGCACAAGGCTGTTTCCAATGAGCTTGCGCAATATGGGCCACGCCTCAAGGCATGGATGGCAACCAGATGAGGCTTGATCTTTGCAGCTGGCTTGAGGTGGAAACGTATCTCGAACGCAGCCGGACCATCATCCTGCCTGTCGGCTCGACCGAACAGCACGGCCCCATGGGCCTGATCGGTACGGACGCACTGTGTGCCCAGACCATCGCCCGACATGCCGGAGAGCGAACCTCAACACTTGTCGCGCCCACGCTCGCCTTGACGCCTGCGCCTTTCAACACGGCGTTTCCGGGAACAATTTCAGTGTCGGTTGCGACATTCAAGGCAATGGTGTCAGAGATCGTTTCGTGCCTGCACGGTCAAGGGTTTCAAAGGTTCTATTTCCTGAACGGCCATGGCGCGAATCTGGAACCGGTTGGCCAGGTAGCCGGTGAGACCGAAGTCGTTGAAAGCCTGGATATCCGAATCCGCTCCTGGTGGGATTTCGAGGCCGTGGGCAAGCTCCGAAAGGACCTCTACGGCGATTGGGAGGGCATGCATGCAACGCCATCGGAAGTTGCGATCACCCAGGCTACCCATCGCGTTTTGCCTCCGGGTGCCGCATCGGCGCCGCCCCAGAAATTGTCGGCGGAATATATCAGGAACCATGCGGGTGACCGGCACGGCCCGCCTGACGAACACCGCCGCGCTTTCCCGGACGGGCGCGTGGGATCTCATTCGGCGCTTGCAACAGCGGAACACGGCAAGGCTCTGCTCGAGGCAGCGGTGACAGGTTTTGCCGAAGACCTGGAAAACTGGTCGCGCTGATTTAACAACGAAATCCGGCGGTTGCTGATCCAAGTTGTTCCGGTGACCAGGCAGTGCGGCGTCACCAGTTCCCGGGACAACAGCCATGCCTCCGGGGCAACTGTGCTGCCCATCGAATGTCCGACGAGACAGACGCCCAGCAGGTTCAAAACTCTGGAAAACGTGGTGACCCTGGTTCCACAGGTATGGATGCCGGGTTTGCTCTTTCCCTTCGCCCGGTCATGCCCGGAGAGGTCGATCGCATGGACGGCCAAATTTGGAAAGATTGAAACGGCCGGGTCGCAGTGTGTGTCCTCAATTGAGGATTGATCTTCTTTGATGGCAGCTTCATCTGCTCCTCGCCATCCAACCGGAAGCTGGCCGGGATTGCCTGCGCTGCCTGGCATGCACCGGCGAACATTGGTTCAAACCAGTTTATGCATGGCTTCGATCTCGGTTGTGCCGACCTGGTCCAGAATGCTGCCGCGCAGCTTGCGCATGGCTCCCAGCCACTTGTCGTAGTCGCCGGACTTGAACTTGATGTACTTCGCGACGTCAGGATGAGGCAGAATGAGGAAAGCTTCTTCATCAACACCCTGAACGACTGTCTCCGCCAGGGCTTGCGGAGAAATCACGCCCGGCAGATCGCCACCGGCATTTTCGTCCCCATATCCCAGCATCGGCGTTGCCACATATTGGGGGCAGATGACAGATACCTTGATACCGTCTGCACCATGCGTGATGGCAAGAGATTCCGCAAAACCGACCGCTGCGTGCTTCGTTGCCGAATAGGCCGCGTTTCCGATCTGGCTCAGCAATCCGGCGGCGGAAGCCATCTGAAGAAGATAGCCTTCACCTCGTTCGATCATGCCGGGCAGCACTGCACGGGCAGCATATACGTGGGCCATCACGTGAATATTCCAGCTCCTGTTCCAGACATCGTTGCCGGCGGAGGCTGAGTGAGACGGTTCGCTCAGGCAAATGCCCGCATTTGAACAGAATAGGTCCACCGGTCCGAATTGGCTTTCGACAGCAGCAACGACGGCCTGGACATCGGTCTCCTTGGTGACATCGCAGCCAAGTCCAAGGCCGCCAATTTGCGACGCCGTTGCCTCGGCTCCGGACTTGTCCAGGTCCGCCAAGGCGACCCTTGCGCCTTCTTCTGCAAACTGTCTGGCCAGGGCCGCACCGATGCCGCCAGCCCCGCCGGTGATGATGACGTTTTTGTCTTTCAGTTTCATGAAGGTTCCTTGAAATGAACTGAAGAAGAAACGGAAGCCGGAGGGCAGAGCCGGCAAGTGTGACAAGGAGGCAAATTATCACGGATATCGCGACGACAATTGGAACGGCTTTTCTGATCGCGTCGTTGATCGGGCCGCTTTTCCGGACCGATTGCACCAAGCAGAGGTTAAGGCCGAATGCCGGCAAGGAACAGAAAGGCATTTGTCGCGCGCTCCCGACGGTCCTGCGCCGTTGTGGGGGGCATGGCCTTGATCCTGACATCTGCAGGTCAGGCGCTGTTCTCCTGGGACGAAAAGCCTGGGGTTTTTCCTTGGCGGACGCTTCCGATATTGAAGGTTCAATCGCGGGAAAAAGTCGGGAACAAACCCGAGATGCATATCAGGCAGGCGCTGTTGCAATATCGTGCAATAGCCTGGCTTGGCAGGTCCTGATTGAGCGTCGGACCTTGAAAGAACCTGTCGGTGACAGGCCGGTCTGTCAGTTCCGCAGTCGCTTTCTCAAAGCAGCAGAGTATGTGAAACATGGCGGAGAGAGGGGGATTCGAACCCCCGGAACGCTTGCGCGCTCAACGGTTTTCGAGACCGCCCCGTTCAACCACTCCGGCACCTCTCCGCGGCACTTTCGACAAAACGGGTCTCAAGTGGCGCGGAACATAGACAAGCTCTTTCGCACCTGCAAGACCCGATTTGCATTCTTCACCGCCTACGTTGACTTTTTGCGCGCATATTCATAACGGCTGAAATTCAAGGCGGATTTCCAACCGTCCGGAGAGTGACCGGTGATGGGGACCCCTGTGGGAATTGAGGCTGTCCCGGAGTGGTCAATCGGGCGCGCGCGTCCTTCAGTCTGCAATAATTCCGTTTGACAACAAGAGCTGGGTGGCTATATTGCGCGGGCTCGAAAAGGTTCATCTTTTTCGGGTTTTCTTTGTCGATCTAGGCCTCGCGGGCTTTTAGCTTCACGCAACCCGACACAAAGATCTGCCTGCCGGATGGCAATCCGGAGGGGCAGGCGCCTCAGTTTGACCTGAATGCAGCCGGTGCTGCTTGAGCCGAATGGCCTGCACCGGCGTGTCAAAAACGAAAAGAAGGACGTGCGCGACATGTTCGCTGTAATCAAAACTGGTGGCAAACAGTATACTGTTGCCGCAGACGACCTCCTGAAGGTCGAGAAACTTGACGCCGAAGCCGGCGGCACCGTCACTTTTGAAGACGTGCTCATGGTAGGCAACGGCACGGACACCACCGTTGGGGCTCCGACCGTGGAAGGCGCCAGCGTTGTTGCGGAAGTGGTCGATCAGGGCCGTGGCCGCAAGATCATTATTTTCAAGAAGCGCCGGCGCCAGAATTCCCGCCGTCGCAATGGTCACCGTCAGTCCTACACCCTCGTCAAGGTGACGGACATTCTGACAGGTGGTGCAAAGCCGGCCAAGAAGGCAGCGCCGAAAAAGGCTGCGCCGAAGGCCGACGAGCCGAAAGCCGAGGCAGCTCCGAAAGCTGAAGAAGCCAAGGCAGACGTGAAGGAAGCCAAAAAGGAAGAAGCAGCCGTTGAGCCGCTCTTCACCGCACCGGAAGGCAAGGACGATCTGAAGAAGATCTCCGGCGTCGGCCCGGTTCTTGAGAAGAAGCTGAACGCTCTGGGTATCACCACCTATGAGCAGATCGTCAACTTCTCAGCGGAAGACATCGCCCGCGTTGATGAGGTCCTGAATTTCAAGGGACGTATCGAACGCGACAACTGGGTTGAGCAGGCCAAGGAACTGGCAGGCAACTGAGCCGCCGTTTCTCACCTGTTGATTAAGTATTCGAAGAACGAGGAGTTCTAACGATGGCACACAAGAAGGCAGGCGGTTCATCCCGCAACGGCCGCGACTCAGCTGGCCGCCGTCTCGGCATCAAGAAATATGGCGGGGAAGCCGTGATTCCCGGCAACATCATCGCTCGTCAGCGTGGCACCCAGTGGCACCCGGGCACCGGCGTGGGCATGGGTAAGGATCACACCATTTTCGCGACCGTGGAAGGCAAGGTTCAGTTTAAGGCGGCAGCCAACAAACGAACCCTCATTAATGTGGTCCCAGTGGCGGAAGCTGCGGAGTAAAGCCGACGTGAATTTTCGAAACGCCGGCGTCCCACAAGACCCCGGCAATTCGAGACAGGTCAGCAACCAGAGACCAGTCGAAGATCTAAGGGGGAGATGGGGCGCCATCTCTCCCTTGATTTGTTTTGCCTGGAGGAAAAGATGGTTGTTGAAAGCGATGGATTGTTAGACGAAAGCAGTTTGGCAGCGGCCCCGTTGCCGCAGGAAGCGGTTCATGTACGGCTCGACAAGCCGCGCAAGGACGATGTGGCCGACCTGGTGTTTCTGGCCAACAACAAGACCGTGGCGGCGAACCTTGCCGCGATGCCTCATCCGTTCACACTCGACAATGGCCGCACCCTGATCGCACGGGCCGGGCAGGTGCGGAAAAATTCCGCCCTCTTTGCCATTCGCCTGAAGAGCACCGGCCGCTTGATCGGTGTTGCGAAATACGCAGCGGTGGAAGAGGACGGCGTCGTCCATGTCGGCTACTGGCTGGGCGAGCCCTTCTGGGGCCGCGGTTACGCAACGGAGGCGGTGCATTCCCTGGTGGATCACGCCTTTGCGTATAACGACATCGAAGAGCTTCAGGGGTCGTGCAGGGTAACCAATCCGGCTTCGCGCCGCGTCCTGGTCAAATCCGGGTTCCAGTATCGGGATCAGGCGATGATCCGTTCCGTCGGTGCGGGCGGCTCCGTACCGATCGAGCGGTACACACTGGAAAGAGCTGTTTGGAAATCCTTGAAAGGCTGGGGGCAGGGACGATGACCATATTGCCGGAATTGAGAACACGACGCCTGATATTGCGGCCAATCGCCATGTCGGATGCGGAAGCAATCATGGAACTTGGTGGCAAGGACTTCGAGGTCGCCCGGTGGATGACGTCCTTCGCCTGGCCCTACGAAGACGGCTCGGCGGAGGCTTTCCTGAAAACCGTCGTCGGCAAGAACCCTCTGGAAACCGAGGCGGTGTTCGCGATCACGCTTGGTGGCATTTTCATAGGGATCGCGGCGGTCGAAGCGCCGGGTGATCTGGCGGATCTGTCGGATCATCCCACCATCGGGTACTGGATCGGCCGGGCGTTCCAGGGGCACGGTTATGCCAGCGAAGCGGTGGAAGCGATCATCGACTGGGCGTTTTCCGCATATGGAACCGACGCCATAGCGGCCCGCGCCTTTGAGGACAACTTCCGCTCCAGGGGCCTTCTGCGCAAGCTCGGGTTCAAGCCCTACAGCATCACCGAACGGTTCTCCAAGGCGCTTGACAGAAGGGTCTCCAACGTTGTCGTGCGTCTGTCTCGAGCCGATTTCGAGGCGCGGAAGGAAGCCGCATGAGCAAGCCGGTCATCAGGACAAGCCGACTGGTTCTCCGGGCGCCGAACCCGGAGGATCTTGACCGGTGTGCTGTTCTTCTCGGCGACTATGAAGTTGCCAAGATGTTGTCGCGCGTACCGTACCCTTATGATCTCGAACTGGGGCGGCAGCATCTGGCAAGATCCGTGAAACGTTGGGAATACATCGTGGACGCGGATGAACTCGGCTTTCACATTGACCATGAAGGCGATTTGATCGGAGGTGTCGGCTTCAAAAAGTTGCAGGAGACACCGGAGATCGGCTATTGGCTGGGGCGCCCTTATTGGGGCAAGGGGTTCATGAGCGAGGCTCTGGATGCAGCTATCGGCTGGATGTTCGAAAACACCGGACACGAACGGCTGGCCTGTGAAGCCATGACGGAGAACCAGGCCTCGATCAAGGTGATGGAAAAAGCCGGATTTCGGCCGGTTGGCGAAGTCGGTTGCGCAAGCGTGTCACGCGGTGAAACCCTGCCGGCCATCAGAAGTGAAATGACGCGAACAGACTATTTGAGCAGTCTTTGACCAACCATGGTCATGGCCTGACAACAGGATACAAAGAGAAGAAAAATGAAATTCCTCGATCAGGCCAAGGTCTACGTCCGTTCCGGCAATGGTGGCGCCGGCTGTGTATCGTTCCGGCGCGAGAAATACATCGAATATGGCGGTCCGGACGGTGGCGACGGCGGCAAGGGCGGTAACGTGATCGTTGAATGTGTCGATGGCCTGAACACGCTGATCGATTACCGCTACAAGCAGCACTTCAAGGCCGAAACCGGCATTCACGGCATGGGGCGCAATCGCACCGGAGCCCACGGCAAGGACGTCGTGCTGAAGGTTCCGGTCGGGACGCAGATACTCGAAGAAGACAACGAGACGCTGATTGCAGATCTGACGGAACTCGGGCAACAGGTTCATCTTCTGAAGGGCGGGAATGGCGGCTTTGGCAACGCGCATTTCAAATCGTCGGTCAACCAGGCACCGCGCCGGGCCAACCCGGGCCTGGAAGGCGAGGAAAAGTGGATCTGGTTGCGGCTGAAACTGATCGCCGATGCCGGGCTGGTCGGCTTGCCGAATGCTGGCAAGTCGACATTCCTGTCCAAGGTATCGGCCGCCAAGCCGAAGATTGCCGATTATCCCTTCACGACGATCCATCCCAATCTCGGGATCGTTCAGATCGATGGCAACAGCTTTGCCATGGCGGACATTCCGGGTCTGATCGAAGGGGCTCACGAGGGAACCGGACTTGGCGACAGGTTTCTTGGTCACGTGGAGCGGACGCGTGTGCTTCTGCACCTGGTGGACGGTTCCGGGTTGGAGGATCCGGGCGAATCCTACAAGGTGGTGCGCGGCGAATTGGAGGCCTATGGCGGCGGGCTCGCCGAGAAGCCGGAAATCGTCGCACTTTCGAAGTGTGACGCCCTGACGGAAGACCTGATCGCCGAAAGGTCGGCAAGCCTGGAGGCATCCTGTGGTCAGAAACCGTTGATCCTGTCCTCGGCAAGCGGCCTGAACGTGGACCGGGCATTGCGCATGATCGTGCGCGCGATCGACAAGGACAAGGAGGATGCCGCCAATCAGGTCCCGGCTCCCGAACAGGAGGGATGGCACCCCTGATGTCGGTTTCAGCCTCCCGAAGTCTCAGCTCCTTCAAGCGGATTGTTATCAAGATCGGTTCTGCTCTCCTGGTCGAAAAGGGAGAGTTGAAGCGTGACTGGCTGGAGGCTCTTGTTTCCGACATCGTGCGGCTAACGACCGAAGGCGCCGACATCCTGATCGTGTCGTCCGGCTCGATCGCCCTTGGAAGGGGCACACTTGGTCTGCCGAACGGACCACTGAAACTGGAAGAAAGCCAGGCGGCGGCGGCTGCAGGACAGATTGCACTGGCGCAGGCCTATGCCGGGGCGCTCGGCAGGCACGGAAGAAAAGCAGGCCAGATCCTGCTCACGCTGGGAGATACGGAGGAACGGAGGCGTTATCTCAATGCCCGGGCAACCATCGGAACCCTTTTGAAGATGGGCGCCGTACCGATCATCAATGAGAACGATTCCGTCGCCACGTCCGAGATCCGCTACGGTGACAATGACCGCCTGGCCGCCCGTGTCGCGACCATGGCGAGTGCCGACTGCCTGGTGCTGCTGTCGGATATCGACGGGCTCTACACCGCGCCACCTGCGCAAAACCCGGATGCCGTCTTCCTGCCTGAAGTTTCACGCATAACTGCGGAAATTGAAGAGATGGCCGGAAGCGCCGGATCAGAACTGTCCCGTGGCGGTATGAAAACCAAGATTGATGCAGGCAGGATCGCAACAGCCGCCGGAACTTCCATGGTCATCACCTCGGGCAAGGAATTGCATCCGCTGTCGCGTCTGACAGAAAGCGGGCGGGGAACATGGTTTCCGGCACTCGCGACCCCGGCAAGCGCGCGCAAGGCGTGGATCGGCGGTCATCTGGAAACGCGCGGTGACGTTACACTGGATGAAGGAGCGGTCAGGGCAATGAAGTCCGGCAAGAGCTTGCTGCCGGCAGGTGTCATTTCTGTCTCCGGTACGTTCTCTCGTGGTGATGCCGTTGTCCTCCTCCGTCCGGACGGAAGAACGATCGGACGTGGTCTCATCGCCTATGACGTCGACGAGGCCAGATTGATCGCCGGCCGCAACAGCCGCGAAATCGAGGCGATTGTCGGCTATCCGGGCCGGGCGGAAATGATCCACCGGGATGATCTGGTGCTTGAGGATGCGTTTTTGAACGGAACACGTTAAAACGCTCCATGTTCTGCGGTCCACAGAGCCGCTATTCGAGGAGTTTGTGAGTATGCTGGAAGTGGTCGAGGCCCGAACAACAGAAGATCTCATGGCAGAGATCGGGCAGCGTGCCCGGGCTGCCGGCCGGGTTCTTGCCACGGCACCAGCTGCTGTGAAAAACAGCGCCCTGAGCGAGATGGCGCAGGCGGTGCGTGCGGCGACACCGGATATTCTTGCCGGCAACAGGCGCGATGTCGAGGCCATGACCGCCAATGGTCAAACGGCGGCTTTTCTCGACCGGGGTACACTGAGTGAAGAACGGATCGAGGCGATTGCCAGGGCGCTGGAGGATATCGTTGCCCTTGACGATCCTGTCGGTGGTGTGATTGCAGCATGGGAACGCCCGAACGGCCTGAAGATAGAGCGTGTACGAACACCGCTCGGCGTGATCGGTGTCATTTATGAAAGCCGCCCGAACGTGACCGCGGATGCAGGTGCGTTGTGTCTCAAGGCCGGCAACGCCGTGGTATTGCGCGGAGGTTCCGACACAATTCAATCCAACATGGCGATCCATAAAGCACTGCAAAAGGGGCTGAAAGCGGCCGGGTTGCCGGAAGACGCGATCCAGATCGTGCCGGTAACAGACCGGGCGGCTGTCGGTGAGATGTTGAAGGGGTTGAACGGAAATCTCGACGTTATCGTTCCGCGCGGAGGACGCAGTCTCGTAGAACGTGTCCAGACAGAAGCGCGCGTGCCTGTTTTTGCCCATCTGGAAGGTCTGGTTCACATATTCGTCGACAAGGCAGCCGACCTGCCGAAAGCCGTTGATATTGTCGTGAATTCGAAGCTCAGGCGCACCGGCATCTGCGGGGCGCTGGAAACGCTTCTGGTTGACGAGGAAGTCGCGCACGGTCACTTGCCCGTCATCGTGAAGGCCTTGCAGGACGAGGGATGTGAAGTTCGCGGCTGCGATGTCGTACGGGACATCTGCGAGAATATCGTTCCCGCCAGCGAAGATGACTGGTCGACCGAGTATCTCGACAAGATCGTGTCTGTCAAAGTGGTGCCGGGCCTTGAGGCGGCGATGGATCATATCGCCACTTACGGGTCGAACCATACCGATTGCATTCTGACGGAAGACGGTGCCTCTGCACAAAGGTTTCAGGCAGAGGTGGACTCAGCCATCGTTCTTCACAATGCTTCGACTCAGTTTGCCGACGGCGGCGAGTTCGGCATGGGAGCGGAGATCGGAATTGCGACAGGACGCATGCATGCGCGCGGCCCCGTCGGCGTCGAACAGCTGACCAGCTTCAAATACAAGGTTCATGGTGAGGGTCAGACGCGTCCATGACTTCATTCGGTCCTGGAGGGGAACTCGACCGAGATTGGCTGAAGCTGCCCCATGTCGAACCCGGGAACCGCATCGGCCTTTTCGGCGGATCCTTCAATCCGCCCCACTCAGGCCACCGTCTGGTTGCTGAAACGGTCCTGAGGCGTCTGGGGCTTGATCAGGTCTGGTGGTTCGTGACGCCCGGCAACCCGCTCAAAAGTCATGCTGACCTGGCGCCACTTGAATTGCGCATGCATCTGGCCCGCGCTCTGGCGGATCACCCGCGAATGAAAGTGACCGCTTACGAGGTTGTTCTGGGCACTCCCTATACGGCCAGGACAATTGCCGCTTTGCGCGCAATGCGGCCTTCAGTGCGATTCGTTTGGGTTATGGGTGCTGACAATCTTGCCGGTTTCCATCGATGGCAGGACTGGCGCACCATTCTCGGTTCCGTTCCGGTCGCAATCGTAGACAGGCCGGGTGCATCGCTTTCAGCTCTTTCGTCGCCAATGGCAAAAGCCTATGAAAAATATAGGCTTCCCGAGGAAGACGCGTCGCTGCTGCCGAATTTGGACCCACCAGTCTGGACGTTTTTGCATGCACCACTCGACCGCACATCGTCTACGGATTTGCGGAAATTTAACACATTGGACATTGCCAAAGTTACCAAGAAAACGGCGCTGTCTTGAAAATGCCAAAAGGGAAGCTGTATTATAGGGGTGGTCGCGATGAACGCGGCCGAGGTACGGTCAACCGGTCCTGTATTCAAAACGGGTGACGTAGAAACCGAACTATCTGGTTCGTGACGACGTTGGACACAGGGCGGCATAAACGGCGAAAGGCACTACACCTGACCATGACCTTTGAAAGTGGGCGGACAGAATTGTCCTCTCCTCTGCAGGCTTCCGTAAGCGCTGATCTTGCGGCAGGTCTCCTCGATACGGTTCTGAGCAGCCTTGACGATTCCAAAGCTGAGGACCTGATAACTCTCGACATCGCAGGCAAAAGCTCCCTCGCGGATCACATGGTAATTGTGTCCGGGCGTTCCCATCGTCACGTTGGGGCCATTGCGGACCATTTGCTGAAGGATCTGAAATCGGCCGGATTGAAATCGGCAACGGTGGAAGGTCAGAGCACCTGTGACTGGGTGCTGATCGATGCAGGCGATGTGATTGTTCATATTTTCCGTCCGGAGGTACGCGGTTTCTACAATCTCGAAAAGATGTGGGCACCGGACACGGACGAAGCGCCGCAATATATCGGCTGAACGGGATCTTGGTTCCTGCTTTCGAGCTTGTCATGTCGAAAGCAGGTTGAGCCGAGAATTGTCTCGAACGGCGATCGAATTTGCCGCGAAACTGAAGACCGGAGTTTCAACCGGCAAGGATCTTATGCGCTTTACATTCTCCTGCATCGGCAAGATGAAAGCCGGTGCGGAAAAAGACCTCCTCGACCGGTATGTTGACCGTGCGCGCAAGACCGGACGCGGGTTGGGCATCTCCGATATCGTGGTCAGCGAATTATCCGAAAGCCGCGCTCAGCGCCCTGAAGACCGGAAGGCCGAGGAAGCAAAAGGCCTTCTGAATTCTGTCTCAGGTTCTGCGCGGGTCGTCGTTCTGGACGAGAACGGCAAGAACCTGACCAGCCCGGACTTCAGTCGCAAGATCGACTACTGGAAGGATGAGGGCATTCCGGAGGTCGTGTTTGCGATTGGCGGGGCTGACGGGCACGGGCAGGAACTTCTCGCCCGGGCGGATCTGAAACTGGCGTTCGGCGCGATGACATGGCCCCATCAGATTGCGCGCATCTTGTTGGCGGAACAGGTCTACCGCGCCATGACGATCCTTTCCGGGCACCCGTATCACCGGATTTGAAGCATGACAGACACCACTACATTGGCTGCCAGCATGGCGCTCTCAAGGACACTGAACAACGGCATGATCGAGATACCGACCCTTCAAACGGATCGACTGACCCTGCGGCCGATGACGATGGCCGATTGGGATGACTATTATTCATTCATGCAAAGCGATCGATCGCTCGGCATGGGAGGCCCATTTCAGAAAAAGATGTCCTGGGCGCTGTTTTGTCACGATATGGCGCAATGGCCGCTGATGGGAAACGGTGCCTTGATGCTCGATGACCGGGAGACTGGCACTTGTTTCGGGCAGGTCGGGATAAACCATGGGCCGCTTTTTCCCGAACATGAACTCGGATGGTTTCTTTATCCGGCCGCAGAGGGAAGGGGTATCGGCTACGAGGCTGCGCAAAGGTTCGCCGACTGGGCACGACACGAGCGCTGCCTGCCAAGCCTGGTGAGTTACATCGATCGGGACAATGTTCGCTCCCGACGCCTCGCGGAACGCCTGGGTGCGAGACTGGACGATGAAGCCGAGCGACCTGATCAGGCGGACCTTGTTTACCGGCACTTTTAAGGACCATCGCGGGCCGGGCGTTTGAGCGAAATTGCACAGTCCCCTGACGGGCGCACCGCCAGGGAACTGGTGACGTGCAGGTCTGTTACCTGTTCAGCGCCGCCCTGGCGTTTTCCGCATAACGGAAATCCGGGTCGGCTGCCAGCGCGGTTTCCAGAAGTTTCCGGCCCTCAACTTCGTTGCCTTCCGCGAGCCTTACCATGGCCAGACGATAGGTAAGGACGGGGTTATCCGGGTCGGCCTTGTGCAGTTCGTCAAAAATGGCACCGGCTTTGGCCGTGTCTCCTGCCTTCAGCGCAGCCCAGCCAAGTGTGTCCTGTACATTTCTCGAGTTGGGAGCGATATCGGCAGCCTTTTGCGCCAGACCAAGAGCCTTTGCTGGATCGTCATCCACGACCAGAGAAGCAAGATTGTTGAGCGCCACCCAATTGTCAGGCTGCAGTTCGATGGCCTCGGCATAGGCAGCTCGGGTCTCGTCCCTGTTTCCTTCTTCGGTCTCAAGTAAGCTTGCGAGCCAGACAAGGTCGCTCGCCGTATGCTCCGGGCGCTCCGCGAGCGAACGTGCGCGTTTGATTGCGTCCTTGGTGCGTCCGAGGCGCAGTTCGGCGCCGCTTGCCCCTCTTAAGAGTTCAGGATCGTTGGGAGCAATCTGGAGCCCGCCCTCGTAAGTGTCGAGTGCTTCGCCGTAGCGCTTCGTCGATCCGAGGAAATTGCCAAGGGCCAGATAGGCTTTCGTATCGCGTGGGAAACGTTCGACCGAACGTTTCAACGCTTGTTCCGCTGATCCCATGCGACCCTCTGCCTGATCGATCGCCGCCAGTCCGATCGCACTGGCGACCGAAGGAGACTGTATCTCCATACGTTTGAACAAAAACCGCGCCCTTTCGAGGTTTCCGTTTTCAAGGTTCAGCCGGGCGGCTGTCTCGAGGACGACCGCAGGAGCGTTTTCCTGACTTGCCACCGGATCAACGACGTTCAGGGCTTCTTGTGGCGTGGAATAGACAAGCAGGAGGCGCGTGTGCGAAAGCGCCAGTTCGAAATTGTCAGCCGGTGCAATTTTCAAAGCCGATTCATAGTACCTGCTGGCCTCTTGCCACTTTCCTTGCCTTTCGGCCATAAGCGCAAGACTTTGAGGCGCGCGCCAGTTATCCGGATCCCGTGCAAGTGCTTCCTCGTATGCGGTACGGGCTTCTTCCGCCCTGCCAAGCTCGAGGAGAATATCTCCTTTGATGATGAGGGGTTCGGAATTGATTGTGTAGAGTTTGGCGGATTCGTCTAACGCCGAGACGGCTTCCTCGAAACGGTTCTGGTTGGCCAGGGCGAGGCCGAGAATCTGCCACGCTTCTGCAATGTCGGGTGACGTGGAAATTAGTTCGCGTGTAATTGTCTCGCTTACGGAAAACTCGCTATTGTACAACGCCTCCATCGCGTTCGCCAAAGCCGCACGCTGGTCAGGTCGCAATTTTGCGAAGCGGTCAGTTTTCATCATGCCTTGATATTGTTCGATGGTTGCTGCCACAGCTCCTGATGAAGTGGCAAAGGCCAGTGCAGCAAGGAAAACGTATTTTAGAAATTTTCTGGAAATTGAGTCTGGATCTCTCATCGCAACACCTGGGTCTCTTCAAATTTTCGTTATCTTCAAAGCGATGTGAAGTCTGTGCCGGAATCTTGCCTGCATAATTGCGGGATACTCCAACGCGAAATTGCATTTAGCGTAACTATAATAGTAAATTTAGTAAAAAACAATGAGTTTAATTGTTGTTAAAGAAAAAATTACGAAATCATGGTTATTTTTGAAGTCTATATTGAAAGAATATTTAAAAATATTGAAATATGTAAAGTGAATCGAGCTTTTCATACTTGGTTCAAATAAAGTGTAACAGCCCGAAATACGGATCAAAAGCGAATTTGAGAAAAAGAACAACAAGAAATCTCAATTCGAAGAGTGGCTTAACCTCGATGTTAATTTTGCGTTAATTTTTTGTAATCTTCCGATAGATTTGTGTTATAGTGCACATCACGTAAATGGAAGTTTGCGTGTTTGATATTATTAATTTTTCCGATTTGGATTTTTGCTTATTCAAGTTTTTCGGGGTTTGCCAGTCCAGATTGGAAGCGTGCTAGTGCAAACGGGGAGCCTACTATGTTTCGTGGAATATCAACCTTTATTGCAGCAATGGGCGTGTTCGGGGGTGTCGCTTTAGCGGATACGATCTCGCCGCTCACCTACACCAACGATACTCTCGGTGTGGGAGACAAGGTAACAATCAGCAAGACTGTCGTAATCGAGGCCGCAGGCACGACCAGCGCATTGCTGGACGTTATGTTTCTTTTCGACACGACAGGCAGCATGGGTGGCGCAATCGCAAACGCCAAATCAGCTGCGAGCAACATCATTACAGGCCTTGGCGGTTTTGGTAGCGTGACTACGGGTGCCGGTTTTTACGGAGATCCGGCATTTAACGGCGTGACGCAGGACCTTACCGGCAACGCAGCTACGACGATCGCGGAAATCAACACGTTTGCAGCCGGCGTACCGAACAATGGCGGCGATTTCGCGGAAAGAGGGAATGAAGGCCTGAAAAGCGTCGCGGAAAATGCTAGCTGGCGTGCTGGCTCCAACCGCTTCGTTGTTGTCCTGGGCGATTCGTCCTTCAAGAACAGCCCTGTTACAAGTGCGGACGCAAAAGCCGCTCTTGATGCGGAAAACGTCAATGTTATCGGTCTGAACTTTGGTGGCGGCTCATTTGCTGGCGCTATCAATGCCGTCGGCGGGACCACGTTTGCCGGTGGATCTACGCCGTCCGACATCGTCGATGCGATTCTCGCTGGTGTTACCACAAGCTTTGACGAGTACACGAAAGTGACCGTCGACGATCTGGGCGCCGGTTTGCCCGAGATCGGTGTATCCGTCGTATGTACAGGTGCGGATACCGGTGCTTGCGTAGGTGACACAGCCGAAGGCATGTACGATCGTTCGGTCGACCGTACCTTCACCTTCGACGTGACCTTCGAGCGTCTCGCAGCAGGCGACAGTTCCTTCGGTACACATGCGCTTGTCGATGGCGGTATCGTCGCGACTGAAAAAGACTCTTTCGGAGGTTCCGCTGTTGTACCGCTTCCTGCGGCCGGTTTCCTGATGATCTTCGGTCTTGGTTCGCTGGCAGTAATGTCTCGCCGCCGCAAGGCAGCCTGATAGCTCTTTGGAGCGAAACAACACCGACAACAATGAAGCCCGCGCCTCCGGCGCGGGCTTTTTCCTTGCCTGACTGCCTGATCGACGTCTCGACTGCTTTCAGGCATGTGACAGAGCGGTCGCTACACTTCCAGCATCAAAACAGGCTTGCCGGTAGTCGGGACGTGAACGATTGTTAAGGTCAATGTGGCAGCAAAACACGGTTTTGCCCGTATGTCGCCGTATTCCCCCCGTAACGGATATGATGGACAAGACAGGCACCACAGGTTCGGTGAAAGGGGAGCTGTTTCCTGACACCGGCTTAACGAACCGGTCACTTGAGTAAACGGTTCGTTAACGCAGTCTGTGTATCGCATGGTAGGGTAACCTTTGGGAGCTGAAGCAGTTTGAAACCGGATCGCATCATGGCTGTGCGTCCAGGACTTGGGAGGCGGCGGTATTCACACCCGTTCTTGAGTGTGGCTGTGCTGGGATTGATGCTTGCGTCCGGCTCTGCAATTTCAAGCGAAAGTCTCGATGAGCAGCCTGAAACGGCCACCCCCGAAGTTTCGGAGATAAATACGTTTCTCGAACGCAAGACAGAGCGTGAAGAGGAGCTCGCTGCGCTTTCCAGAGATATAGACGTTTCGTCGGACCGCCAGGCTGCCATTGCGCGCGAGATCCGGGCTCTTGATCGGGACAGGGAAACGCTGAATGCAAAGATCATCAGTACGTCCGATACGATCCAGGGTCTTGAAACCGAGCTGACCGACACTGAACGCCGGCTGATGAGCCTGGGAGAAAATGAAGATGCTGTCCGGCTGTCGCTGATTGCGCGCCGGGATATTCTCGCAGAAGTGCTTGCGGCGCTGCAAAGATTGGGCAAGCGCCCGCCTCCGGCCCTGGCAGTGCGCCCGAGTGATGCACTGTCGGCTGTGCGCAGTGCGATTCTTCTGAACGCGGTCATGCCGGAATTGAAAGTCGAGACGGAGGCTTTGGCGGCCGATCTGCAGGAACTGCAGCGGCTCAAGTCGGTCATCGCGGAGGAAAAAAACAGGCTTCGCGGCGACGCGATGCGATTGGCTGAGGAAAAGTCCCGACTGGAACTTCTATTGAGCGCCAAAAAACAGGAACATCTGAAGTCGGTTGAGGTGCTCAAGGAGGAGAAGGAACGCGCTGCGGAGCTTGCTGAACAGGCAGGGTCTCTCCAGGAGCTGATTGCAAATCTGGAAGTCGAGATTGAAAGCGCACGGGACGCGGCTGAAAAGTCACGACAGGCGTCTTTGAACGTAAAAAGGAATGCCTCGCGCAATTTTGATCCGTTCGCGGATCCGGGAAGAATTGCTCCGGCGATTGCGTTCGACGATGCAAGGGGCAGGCTGCCGCAGCCGGTTGCAGGTACGATGCTCAAGGGTTTTGGTCAGGAAGATGAATTCGGTGGTTTGACTGAAGGACAATCTATTGCCACAAGACCGGGTTCTAATGTGACTTCCCCGGCCGACGGCTGGGTTGTATATTCCGGTCCGTTCCGTTCGTTCGGACAGCTCTTGATCCTGAACACCGGCGATGGCTACCATGTGCTCCTCGCCGGTCTGGACCGGATAGACGCGGAATTGGGGCAGTTTGTTCTTACCGGGGAACCGGTTGGTGTTATGGGCGCAACCCAGTGGGCAAGCGCATCGACGTTCGGTTTGGGTTCGACCCAGCCGATCCTATATGTTGAATTTCGGAAGGACGGACGTGCGATCGATCCCACACCCTGGTGGTCGCGCACAGAAGAAGAAAAGGCTCGCGGATGATACGGAAAGCTTCCTTGCTGCTGGTGGGTGCCCTTGTGGGGGCTGCGGCAGTTACGACTATGTCCCAGATGCCGCTCAATGTGTCAGTGGCAGCAAATGCGGCAGCGACGGATACGTATCGGCAACTCAACCTGTTTGGCGACGTGTTTGAACGTGTTCGGTCAGACTATGTGGAAGTTCCGGACGACGCCCAGCTGATTGAAAGCGCGATCAACGGCATGCTGACATCGCTGGATCCGCACTCCAGCTATATGTCACCGAAGAGCTTCAGGGACATGCAGGTCCAGACGCGCGGTGAATTCGGCGGTCTCGGCATAGAGGTCACCATGGAAGAAGGCCTTGTGAAGGTCGTCTCCCCGATCGACGAGACACCGGCCGCCAAGGCGGGTGTTCTGGCCGGCGACCTGATTACCTATATCGATGGCGAGCAGGTCCAGGGCCTGACCCTGAATGAAGCTGTCGAGAAAATGCGTGGTCCGGTCAACACCGACATCATCGTCACGATCCGCCGCGATGGCCGCGCCGAACCATTCGACATCACGATCACACGCGACATCATCCGCATTCGTTCCGTCCGCTGGCGGGAGGAAGAAGATGTCGGTTATGTCCGCGTTACGCAGTTCAACGAACAGACGTTCGACGGCCTGAAAAAGGGCATCGAGGAAACGACGGCTGCAATCGGTGAAGACAAACTGAAGGGCTACATCATCGATCTGCGCAACAATCCGGGTGGTCTGCTCGATCAGGCGATCGCGGTTTCCGATGCCTTCCTTGATCGCGGCGAGATTGTTTCGACCCGTGGACGGGAAGCGGACGAAACACAGCGCTACAACGCTCGCGCCGGCGATCTGACCGACGGCAAACCCGTGATCGTCCTTGTTAACGGTGGTTCTGCCTCTGCGTCGGAAATCGTCGCAGGTGCCCTGCAGGATCATCGCCGCGCGACGATCCTCGGCTCACGGTCATTCGGCAAGGGGTCGGTCCAGACCATCATTCCGCTCGGTGCCAATGGAGCGATCCGCCTGACGACGGCGCGGTATTACACGCCTGCCGGGACTTCCATTCAGGCCAAGGGGATCGTGCCGGACATTGAAGCCCTTCAGGAACTGCCCGAAGAGCTTGTCGGTCGTGTTGAGACCAAGGGTGAAGCCGGTTTGCGCGGTCACCTGGAAGCTGATGGCGAAGAGCAGTCAGGCAGCCAGGCATATGTCCCGCCGGATCCGGAAGACGACACACAGCTGAACCTGGCACTGGATCTTTTGCGCGGTGAACAGGCCAACAGCGCTTTCCCGCCGGTTTCAGACAGCGCCGCGGTTAAAAACTAATCGTCTGACTGCGCGCCGCATTGCCGGCGCGCAGCCTTCTCGTTCTCGTTCTGCGTATTCCAAAAACAAAGTTGATTCCGGCGCCCTGCCGGAAAAAAGGCTCAGGACGACATGTCGAGCGAAGATCTCACAGCTCCCCTAGGAATGGGCAAACGGCGGCTGGTCAGGCTGCCGTTCGGTCTTATTGGTGTCGGACTATTGAGCGTTTTCGTCACGACAACGATGATCTGGCTGGCGGTTGTCGATGATCCCCTGGGCGGTGAGCCGGTTGCCGTCATTCCGCTTGATGCCATGGTGGAAGGCGTGACCTCGCAGGATATCGAGGTTGTTGAAATCCGTCCGGGTCTTGCAGGTGATCTCGGACCGAATCTGAGACCTGAATCCGGCCGGGATCTGCTTGGACCTCGCTATGAAATGGTCCAGCGTCCCGATGGCAAGGGAACAGGTGAACCTGTTACCAGTCTGTCGGCCAACCCTGATACCAGGGTCAGCGAAAGGTCCGACTACGGTTTTCTTCCGAAAGTCAGTGATGCCGGCGTACGTCCACTGGATGCCTATTCCCGGCCCGTCATTCGTGAATTCTCTTCAATTCCCAAGATCGCGATTATTGTGAATGGAATGGGATTGAGTGAGACCGGGACCCAAAATGCCATCGACCGCATGCCGCCTGAAGTAACTTTCGCGCTTGCTCCCTATGGCGATGACCTTGATCTCTGGATGCAGCAAGCACGTTCAAAGGGGCACGAACTGCTGTTGCAGCTTCCACTGGAACCCTTTGATTTCCCGGACAACGATCCAGGACCTCATACGCTCATGGTTAGCCTGCAACCGAAAGAAATGCTGGACAGGCTGGCATTCTTGCTGACACGGGCAACAAACTACGTGGGTACCATTCCCGACATGGGGGCCCGGTTCACATCCACCAAACCGTCGATGCAATATCTCCTGGAAAAGCTGAAGTCTCGCGGCCTCATGTTCGTCGACAACGGTACCTCATCGCGCAGCCTGTCGGCTGAAACGGCTGGCGATCTGCGTCTTCCCTTCGCTGGAGTTGATGTGGTGCTTGATGAAGTTCCGCGCGAAGACAATATTGACGCGAAACTGTTGCAGCTGGAAGGTATAGCAAGATCCCGTGGCGTGGCCGTTGCATCCGGGTCCGCACTTCCGGTGACCGTACGCCAGCTGGAGAAATGGGTGCAGGACCTGGAGCAACGCGGTCTTCAACTTGTACCTGTCAGCGGGACCATCGACAGATAGCATTTGAATTTCAGATAGGTGAACAAGTGACAAAGCTTGCGCTCGGACCGGGATTTCCCGAACCTTCCGAAGGGCTGCCGTACCGCCCTTGTGTCGGCATCATGTTGATCAACAGGGATGGCATGGTCTGGATCGGAAGCCGCGATGACGGTGGAAGCTCATCCAACTACGAATTTTCCTGGCAAATGCCGCAGGGGGGGATCGACAAGGGCGAGAGCCCGGAGCAGGCGGCCCGCAGGGAGCTCTACGAGGAGACATCTGTGAGATCGGTGACACTTCTCGAGGAGGCACCGGAGTGGTTCGCATACGACTATCCCGAAGAAGTCGTTCGGAAGTCCCGAAGGGGCAAGCACCGCGGACAGGCGCAGCGATGGCTGGCATACCGCTTTGATGGCGAGAATGAGGAAATCGACATTCTGGAACCGCCGGAAGGACATAAGGCGGAATTCGGTGCGTGGCGATGGGAACACGCAGACCGTTTGTCGAGCCTGATCGTGCCATTCAAGAGACCGGTTTATGAACGGGTCGTTGATGCGTTCTCTCACCTCACTGCGTGATCTCTCTTTCACGACATCCTCAAAGCGTCAGCATTTGAAGTCCCGTTGTCGTTTTTCAAACAGACAAGGCATAATTCGAACGCTAGCATCCGGCCAAATTGACTGAGAGCTTTGCAACCGTGCGCGGTTCAAGCATTCGGTTAGACACCGGACCATTGCAGGAACACGCGAACAGGCTGCGTGTTCCGGACGTTTAGGAGGAACGCCAATGTCTTTCGGCAAGGGGCTTTCACGAAAGCCGTCCCAGCCAAAAGGGCGTCAGTTGGAAGATGCTGCCCTGAGTGAAGTTCAGGCGCTTTTGGGTGACGAACCCCGTCGCCGCGACTTGCTGATCGAACATCTGCACAAGATCCAGGACGCCTACGGGTGCCTGGAGGCCCGCCACCTCAAGGCGCTGTCGGCCGAGATGCGGATGTCGCAGGTGGAAGTCTATGAAGTCGCAAGCTTCTATCATCACTTCGATATCGTTCGTGAGGATGAGCAAAAGCCGGCACCGTTGACGGTGAGGGTCTGCGACAGCATCACTTGTTCAATCAAGGGTGCGGATGCACTTGCTGCCGCTCTGGAGAATGGCGTCGATCCTGCAAAGGTCAGGATCCAGAAAGTTCCCTGTATTGGACGGTGCGCGGGAGCGCCGTCAGTGCAGGTCGGCAAACGTGCCGTCGACAACGCGAGTGAAATATCCGTTCGTTCGGTTTTGTATGAAGGCGAGAATGCTCCGATCATTCCAGATCACGTAGGGCTGGATCAGTATCGTGCCGAAGGAGGGTACCGGCTGCTCGAACAGGTACGTACAGGTGAACTGGACGCGGCTGCGATTGCAGGCAAGGTCCTTGAGGCAGGCCTTCGCGGGCTTGGCGGGGCGGGGTTTCCTACCGGCACAAAGTGGAAGATCGTCAACGATCTGCCCGGGCCGAAATACCTGACCATCAACGGAGACGAAGGCGAACCGGGAACCTTCAAGGATCGCTACCATCTGGAACACGATCCGCACCGCCTGCTGGAAGGAGCGTTGATCGCCGCCCATGCGATTTCCGCCGCCCGGGTCTATCTTTACATGCGCGATGAATATCCGGCAGTTCTGGAAATTCTGGCGAAGGAAATCGAAGCACTGCGGATTTCGGGCATCATCACCGACATCGATATCGAACTGCGCCGTGGAGCCGGGGCCTATATCTGCGGCGAAGAAAGCGCAATGATCGAGTCGATCGAAGGAAAGCGCGGTTTGCCGCGCCACCGTCCACCCTTTATTGCCCAGGTCGGACTCTTTGGGCGCCCGACGCTCAATCACAATGTCGAAACGCTCTTCTGGATTCGAGATATCGTCGAGAAGGGACCGGAGTGGTTCGCGTCTCAAGGCCGTCGGGGTCACAAGGGGTTCCGATCCTTTTCTGTCTCCGGACGTGTGAAGGAACCGGGCGTTAAACTCGCTCCGGCCGGGATTACGATGAACGAACTTCTGGCAGAGTTCTGCGGTGGCATGGAAGATGGCCATACATTCAAGGGCTATCTGCCGGGCGGCGCCTCGGGTGGAATTTTGCCGGCATCGCTTGCCGACGAGCCGCTCGATTTCGGCACGCTTGACAGTCACGGCTGCTTTATCGGCAGTCATGCCATCGTCGTTTTTTCCGATCAGGATGACATGCGCGACGTGGCGCTGAACCTGATGCGGTTCTTCAAGCACGAAAGTTGCGGCCAGTGCACGCCGTGCCGGTCAGGAACGGAAAAGATGGAACACCTCCTGGCGTCCGGCGACTGGAACAAGGAAAAGATCGATGATCTCGACGCAGTGATGCGTTCTGCGTCCATCTGCGGTCTTGGCCAGGCGGCAGGCAACCCCGTGGCATCGGTGCTCAAATTTTTCCCGGAGGAATTCGAAAGATGAGCCAGATCACTTTCTCCCTCGACGGCAAGGACGTCACCGCCCAGGAAGGCGAAACCATCTGGCAGATTGCCAAGCGCGAAGGCGTCGCCATTCCGCACCTGTGTCACAAGGATGCACCCGGGTACAGGTCAGACGGCAACTGCCGCGCCTGCATGGTCGATATCGAAGGTGAACGGACACTTGCAGCGTCGTGCATTCGTGAGCCATCGGAAGGCATGGTCGTCAAGACCGCGACCGAACGCGCCTCCAAGGCACGTGAAATGGTGTTTGAACTTCTGGCCGCCGATCAACCGAGCCGGGATGCACACCCGGACCCGGAAAGCGACTTCTGGAAATGGTCCGACACGATCGGTGTGACGCAGAGCCGGTTCGCTCCCTGTGAAAAGCCAGAACAGGACGTTTCCCATCCGGCGATCGCCGTCAACCTGGATGCCTGCATTGCGTGCAACCTGTGTGAACGCGCCTGTCGGGAAGTTCAGGTCAATGATGTGATCGGCATGGCGGACCGTGGTTCCCACACGGCACCGGTCTTCGATCTGGCAGACCCGATGGGGATTTCCACGTGTGTTGCGTGCGGCGAATGCGTTTCCGCGTGTCCGACCGGCGCCTTGATGGAAAAAAGCCTTCTGGATGAGACCGGCAAGGTTCGCGAGATCTTCACCGAGGAAACCGTCGACAGTGTCTGCCCCTTCTGTGGTGTCGGATGCCTGACGTCCGTCTCGGTCAAGGATGGCAGGATCGTCAAGGTCGATGGCCGGGATGGCCCGGCCAACGAGAACCGTCTTTGTGTCAAGGGACGGTTTGGCTTCGACTATGTTTCCAGTCCCGAGCGCCTGACCAAACCCTTGATCCGGCGGGACGACGCGCCCAAACGCGGCGACATTTCCATGACGCGGGACAATCACCTCGACTATTTCCGTGAGGCAACCTGGGAAGAAGCGCTGGACAGGGCTGCCGGCGGCCTGACTGCGGCATTCGAGGCCAAGGGTGGCGCAGGTGTTGCCGGCTTTGGATCTGCCAAGGGGTCCAACGAGGAAGCCTATCTTTTCCAGAAACTGATCCGCCAGGGTTTCCAGACCAACAATGTCGACCACTGCACGCGTCTGTGTCATGCCTCTTCTGTGGCAGCCCTCATAGAAGGGATCGGATCGGGTGCCGTGACGGCTCCGTTCAACGCCGCAGAAGATGCCGATTGCATGATCGTTATTGGTGCGCGTCCGGCACAGAACCATCCGGTCGCGGCAACCTATATCAAGCAGGCAGCGAAGAAAGGCGGCAAGCTGATCGTCATGGATCCGCGTGGCCAGGACCTGATGCGGCATGCGGATTACGGCCTGCAGTTCAAGCCGGGCACCGATGTCGCCATGTTGAATGCGATCCTCAACGTGATCATCACCGAGGAGCTCTACGACAGTCAGTACATCGCAGCCCATGTCGACGGCTTCGAGGCCCTGAAGGAAAAAATCAGGGACTTCACACCTGAGGCGATGGAACCCGTTTGCGGCATTGAAGCCCAGACCCTTCGTGAAGTTGCAAGGCTATATGCAACCAGTGCGAAATCGATCATTTTCTGGGGCATGGGCGTGTCCCAGCACGTGCACGGAACCGACAATGTCCGCTGCCTGATTGCCATGGCGCTGACCACCGGTCAGATTGGCCGTCCCGGCACCGGCCTTCATCCGCTTCGCGGACAAAACAATGTCCAGGGGGCATCCGACGCTGGTCTTATTCCGATGTTTTATCCCGACTATCGGGCCGTCGGGAACGAGGATATCCGAGCCGGTTACGAAGATGCCTGGGGCCGGACGCTTGACCCGGTCCGGGGACTGACGGTTGTCGAGATCATGAACGACATTCTCGCCGGTGGCATCGAAGCCATGTTTGTTCAGGGCGAGAACCCGGCCATGTCCGATCCGGACCAGAACCACGCCCGCAAGGCGCTGTCCACGCTGAAGCATCTGGTCGTTCAGGATATCTTCCTGACGGAAACGGCCTGGCATGCGGATGTCATCCTGCCGGCGTCGGCTCATGCGGAAAAGCTTGGCACCTACACCAACACCAACCGTCAGGTCCAGATCGGACGGCCGTGTGTTCCGCTGCCCGGAGAAGCGCGTGCCGATTGGCAGATCCTCATCGATCTTGCCAACCGCCTGGGCTTGAACTGGGCCTATGACGGTGTTCCGGCAATCTATGAGGAAATGCGTTCGCACATGGCCTCGCTCAATAACATCTCCTGGGAGAGGCTCGAGCGCGACGGAACCGTTACCTATCCGGCCGACGCGCCGGACAAGCCGGGCAACGAGATCCTTTTCGGCCATTCCTTCCCGACTGCGGACGGGCGCGGCAAGATTGTGCCGACGGACCTCGTGCCGCCCAGTGAGCTGCCGGATGAGGACTTTCCGCTTGTGCTCACGACAGGACGTCTGCTGGAGCACTGGCACACCGGTGCAATGACCAGGAGAGCCACGGTTCTTGACGCCATTGAACCGGAACCGGTTGTTTCGATGAACCCGCGCGACATCAAGATGTCAGGCCTGGAAATCGGTCAGCAGGTGACGGTCGAAACCCGCCGCGGAGCAATCACCTTGACGCTCCGGGCCGACAGGGATGTCTCGGTCGGAATGATGTTCATCCCGTTCTGCTTCTTCGAAGCACCGGCGAACTTCCTGACCAACCCGCAGCTCGATCCCTTCGGCAAGATCCCGGAGTTCAAGTTCTGTGCCGCGCGCGTAGGACCTGCCGAGCACCAGCAGGCAGCCGAATAACGGACAAACAAAAGGGCGGCCTCTTGAGCCGCCCTTTCAATTCCAAAACTGTTTCAGTCAGTTCGCTTCAATCTTCACGTTCAGAAGATCGGGCAGGGTCTGGGGAGCTGCCATGCTGCCGAGGATCTGCGCCAAAGGTATGGGATTGGCGGGTGAAAGCGTCACTTTCAGTTCCTTCGGGTCATTCAGATATGTCGACACAGCGTCGCTGACCATCTTCGTGAAGGCTTCATTCTGGATCGGTGCGGTCGCCTGTGCCGCCTGTGCAACCAGTGCTTCTCTCAGGACGTTTTCTGGCAGACCTTGTGCTTCGGCAAAGAACTTGAGACCGTTTGCCGTCACGCCTGCGTCCTTGAAGATGATCGATGCGTCAACGAACTGGGCCGAAATCGCGGCCAGCTGACCCTGTCCCTCGGGATCTTCGAACAGGGCTTTGGGAACATTGGCGAACCGCAAGGAGGCCTCAGCCCGGCCAAGGCCTTCGATTTCGAGCATCAACCGTTCCAGGCGAAGATCCAGAGTTGCTTCATCCCAGTAAAGCCGGGCTTCGTCTGACCAGACGATTGTTTCGAGACCAAGCGCCTGAAACAGGGCCTGTGCCTCCGGATCGTCGATTGCACTGACAGGAACCCGGATGCCGTCGCTCTTGATGTGCAGACTGGTCGGGATCGGAGGCACGGTCGTCGAAATCGTCATTTCGGCCTTGCCGATTTCGGTCCGCCCGACGTCCGGAATGTTGACATCAAGACCCTCGACCTCATACGCGAATGATCTCGGTATGAACGCGCGAGCAACCTCGAGCGGGTTGTTCTCGCCGTAATTTGGGTCTGCGATCAGTTTGCCGATCATTTCTTCCATTGGTGTGTAGTCGGCAAACTCGATGTTTCCGATCGCGGCCCAGTCCAGCTTGACCGAAGCCCCTTCCGGAAGTTTTGGTGCATCGAGACCGACCAGCATCATTTCACCGATGCCTTCCGACCCGATGTCTGTCATCGCCACTTCCTTGATCTTGACGGCTGACTCCAGTCCGGGGCCGATTGGAATTATTACGGAAATCCCGCTGACCCGGGCATCGCCAATGGCGAAGGACCGGTAGAACTGGAACACGTTCGTGATCAATTCCTCGGGGGAGGGCGCCTGTTTGTTCAGGACCTGATCAAGAAGGCTGAGGACGTTGTTGTCCCGCTTGATCATCGTGACGTTGTCAAGAGTGGCTCGCTCTGCTTCCATTTGCACTGCGAAGCCTTCGGCAACTTCCTGTCTCGATTTGTAATCGACCGCGGACCCGGATCCGATCAGCGTCCATTCTTCGCCGTTTTCAGGAACAGAGGGGTCGAAGAGATTGATAAATCCGTTGAGATCGATGGTGTTGTAGACAGTCTTTCCCTGACTGGTCGTTTGCGCCAGCATCTGTCCGGAGGCCGCATCAAGCGTCCTCATCACCTGCGTCATGCCGTTGATCGAATATTCGTCAACCTTTCCATCCCGTGCTCCTGCAAGACGATATCCATCTATCTGGACCGTTCCGGAAAGTACCTGCGTGTCCGCGTCGCCCTCAGTGGCATACGCCTCAATGGTAAGGGCTGAATTGTCGACCTTCACCTCGTCATAAGACGTCAGCAAGGCTGCCTTTATGAACGGCAGCCATCGGCTTGCCTTGCGGCTTTCATCTTCCGTCGGCAGATCGGGAAGCACGAACTCGTAGTTGGTTGCGCTCATGCCAGCCAGACGGCCATCCATTTTCAGCCGGCCTTCATCTTCCACTGAACCTTCAATCACGATCTGGGTGTCGTCGGAATAGATCCAGCTGGTCGAGGTGAATTTATTGTTTTCGTGCGTCAGGCCCGCGATGGTGACGGTCCCTGAATTGATGGCGATCGAATAGGAAATATCCGCCAGTTTGGAAGGATCGATGTCGGTCGCGCCGTCATTGCCCGTGACATCCGTTTCTTCCGCCGGGAAGTCCTCGATCTTGCCACTCAGAGAAAACTTGCTGTCCGTTAGCGTGAGCGTGTCACTGCCGGCATCGTAGTCGACCGTTCCGTTTTCAAATTCAAGGCCAAGGTTGTTCAGGCCTTCGACATAGGCATCGAATGCGGCTTTGCCCGTGTCCTGGGCAAATGCAGTACCCGAGAGAAGGACGATCGCGGTGCTGAGTGTCAAAAATCTTGCACGATTTCCGGTCGGATGAGGGTTGGAAGAAGATGCAGGCTTAAAAAACAATGTCTTGGCTCCAAATCGGATGATCAGAATGGACCGTAACCAATCGGTCTGTTCCGATATAGTTGTTACTTGCTGGCCATTCCATGACTATGGCTCATTCTTGTGACGAGGTCGACTCCGGGGCGGACAAACCTCCAGTATTGGCTAACCATTCGGCGCGGACGTTTTCATCAGCTTCAGTGTCGAACGTGGTTGCGCTTCGGGCAGAAACGTCTCCCTCGTCTGCAAGCTGCCGAAACGCCCAGACCGCCGCGCCTCTGACAACCGGGTCGGGATCGTTCATCAGCCGGTCTATCTTCGGCAGGAGACCGCGTTGGCCGGAATTTCCGGCCGCAATCAGGACATTCCGCATGAACCGGTTGCGTCCGATCCGTTTCACTGGAGATCCGGCAAAGAATTTCCGGAAATCGGCGTCATCGAGGTCGAGGAGGTCGGCAAGCAATGGGTTGTTCAGGTCTTTGCGGGCAACAAGCTTGATTTCGTTGGCCGCACTCGCGAACTTGTTCCACGGGCAGGCTGCAAGACAATCATCGCAGCCATAAATCCGGTTTCCCATTGCCTTGCGAAATTCAAGCGGGATCGGGCCTGGGTGTTCGATCGTTAGGTAGGAGATACAACGGCGCGCATCGAGCTGGTAAGGCGCCGGGAAAGCATCCGTAGGACAACTGTCCAGGCAGGCCCTGCACGAACCGCAGTGGTCGGTTTCGCGGCCGCTGGCCGGCAGGTCGAGCGTCGTGAAAATGGAGCCAAGAAAAAACCAGGATCCGTGTTCCCTGGAAACAAGGTTCGTGTGTTTCCCCTGCCAGCCAAGACCTGCGGCTTCGCCCAGCGGCTTTTCCATGACCGGCGCCGTATCGACGAAAACCTTGACGTCACCTCCTCCGGCTCTTGAAATCAGAAACGCTGCCAGTTCCTTCAAGCGGCCCTTGATGACGTCGTGGTAGTCCCGGTTGCGTGCATATACGGAAAGACCGCCGGTACCTATGTCGTTCAAGTGTGCAAGCGGATGATTTTCAGGCGTATCGTCAGGCCCATAGTTCATCGCCAGCATGAGCACTGACCTGACGTCCGGCCACAGGGCACGGGGGGAGGCACGGCGGGTAGCCGTCTCTTTCATCCAGACCATCGTTCCGTGATAGCCGTTGTCCAGATAGGCCTGCAGCCGGTCTGCCGCGCCCGGGATACTGTCGGCGGGCGCAATTTTCAGCCCGCAAAAACCGAGGGTTTGCGCCTTGTCTTCAAGAGCGGTCAGGAGCTTTTGGGTTTTCTTGTCCAAGTTCGTCGGCAACTGTTAAAAGTCGAGATCCGCATATGATGCGGCGGGGGGCATCCCCAGCACCTTTTCGCTCAGAAGCGGACGCATGCCGGGACGCGATTTTACCCGTGCATACCAGCTTTTGACATCTTCTTCGTTGCTCCAGGACACTTCACCCAGATAATCCGCGCAGGAAAGCTCGGCCGCAAGGGCAAAATCGGCAAAGGACAGGCGATCACCCGCCAGCCAGCGGCGCGAGGCAACCAGGTAGCCGAAATACTTGAGATGATGATGAATGTTGGCCCGGGCAACACGAAGGGCCGCGGAGTCCGGTTCGCCGCCGCCCGCGGATTTGGGCATGATCTGCTTGTAGATGCGTTCACGGACGAGATGACCGACGACTTCCTGGTCGAATTTCGTCAGGCTCCACTCGACCAGCCGCCTTGCTTCGGCCCGCGCTTCGGGATGGTCAGGCATCAGGCGACGGTCGGAAAGCGCGTAGCCCCTTGTTTCGTCCAGATACTCCATGATGGGTCCCGGACCGCAGATGGCCGGACCTTCATTTTCAACCAGTACGGGGACAGTCCCTGCCGCGTTCAGCGTTAACAGTTGCTGTGGCCGTTCCCAGGGGTCGACATGCTGTTCTTCAAACGCCGCGCCGTACTCGCTCAGGATGAGGCGCACGAACCGGGACGACGGTGAAAAGGGATGATGATAGAGCGTGAGCATGAAAGGGTTTAGAGCCCGAACTGTGGCAAGACTAAGAATTCGAACTCCAGTTTGCCTCATATATGGTTATCAAGGGTTTGACGTTGCCTTGTCGGTCCGGCAAATAGGCAGCGATCAGGTATTTTGCCTGAGTCGTCAATGTTGCCTGTTCAGGCCAGATTTCATCGCGCCTATCGGAGATATGTCATCCAATGGACGGTCAAACGATTGTAAATGCTCTTATTTTAGGAATTGTCGAAGGTCTGACGGAATTTATTCCTGTTTCGTCCACCGGCCACATTTTGCTTCTGGGACACTTTCTGGGCTTCGAAAGCACGGGAAAAACTTTTGAAGTTTTGATCCAACTCGGTGCGATTCTGGCGATTCTGTCGGTTTATTTCGGCAGGCTCTGGAAATTGGCGGTAACGCTCCCGAGCGATGCGACCAGCCGGCGTTTTGTCTTTGGCATTCTGATTGCGTTCCTCCCGGCGGCGGTGATCGGCGTTCTCTTGCACAGCTTCATCAAGGAGGTTCTGTTTGAATCGCCTGCGCTGATTTGCACCACGCTTCTTGTCGGCGGAATAATATTGCTGTGGATTGATCGGTTGCCCTTGCGACCGCGCTACACAAACGTCATGGACTATCCGTTGTCTCTCTGTCTCAAGATCGGGTTTTGCCAGTGCCTGGCCATGGTGCCGGGTGTTTCGCGATCAGGTGCGACGATTGCCGGCGCGTTGCTCATGGGCACCGACAAGCGTTCGGCAGCGGAGTTCTCGTTCTTTCTCGCCATGCCCACCATGGCCGGCGCGTTTGCCTATGACCTCTACAAGAACCGCAACGTGCTCTCGGCTGATGACCTCACGCTTATCGTGATTGGGTTCGTTGCATCTTTCATTTCCGGTGTCTTTGTGGTCAAGGGCTTGCTGGACTTTGTCTCGCGGCATGGTTTCGCACCCTTCGCCTGGTGGCGGATTTTTGTCGGAATAGCGGGATTCGCCGGGCTTTATTTTCTAGGTTGAATTCGTGACCGGGCTTCCGGCGCGATAAAGCGCGGTCAACGCGGCATACTCCTCGGAGAGTTCCAGGCGTAGCGCATCAGGAGACAACAGTTCTGCTCCCGGGCCGAGCCAGCGCACCAGCGGCAGGATACGGGCTCTGTCGGTGCTGGGAATGCTGACAAGGATCTTTCCCTCGCCGGCAGGCGTGAAAACCGCATGGCGATAATACCAGTCCGCGCTCAATTTCTTCGCCTGCTTGGCCGTGATCAGGATCTTGGCGATTTCCTCTTCCTGTTCCCACCGGCGCATGGCCTGGGAAAGCCATGCACCGCCGAGCATGGTCTTGATGGAAAAGTTCTTGTCGGGCCGGAAGAACAAGCCGCTGATTTCCAGATCGCGCACGCGGTCCGCCCGGTAGACTTTCACCATTTCGGTGTCGACGCAGCGGCCCGCAAGATACCACAGATCCCGGTCGAACATGACGCCATAAGGCTCCACATCGTGCCCCTTGGCCGAATTGCGGGATGGATTGACATGCTCGAACCGGACGCGCTTGCTGTCCAGGATGCCGGACATGAATCCGTCGAGAGCCCGTTGCCAGTCTTCCGTCGGTTCGGCCTTTGTGCCCGAGTGAAAAATGTCGGGCGGTATGGGCTCGATCCCGACGATCCGGTCGGCTTCCTTCAGCAGTCCGTGAACGGACTTCGGCAAAGAGGCAAGCAGCTTCTTTTCGGCCGATGTCAGGTCGTCGGCTAGGGGAACTGTCCTGCTGCTGCGCACAAGTGCCATCGCTGCCAGCAACGCTGCCGTTTCGTTGCGCGTAAGCGCGACGGGAGGCTGCAGATATCCGCTCGCCAACCGGTAGCCTCCTTCTGCTCCGCGCTCTGCATCAACGGGAACGCCGAGAGCAATCAGCCGGTCGATATCCCGGTAGACTGTGCGAAGCGACACCTGGAAGCGTTCGGCAAGCACCGTTGCCGAGACAAGCTTGCCTCCGGTCAGCAGCAGGAGAATGCCGAGCGCGCGTTCAATCGGGTTCATGAAAAATGGCCCTGAGAGGGTTAATCGGAAAAAAAATCATATCCCGGGAACAGAACGAGATCAAACCTGACTCACAGCTGTCAGGATTGCCCTGTCATTGTCTCCTTGTCGCCGGCAAACGGCGGACATGATCCCCGAGGAGATGAGAGATGAGCTATGAGATTGACACCGTATTCCGCAGCCGTGCGCAGAGCCGCAGCGTTGTGTTCACCGCTCTTCGTATATGTGCCGACGAGCTCCGCAGGTATTTTCGCCGCCGGGCAACTGCCCGTGCCCTTTCTCATCTGAATGAAGAGGAGTTGAAGGACATTGGCCTCATGCGGACCGGACAAGGCTACAGAGAATTGCATCAGAACAGGTATGGCGCAAAGCTCTGGAAATGAACAATTCCGGCGGCTGCCATCGAGATGTCAGCCGCCGGATACGCGCGTTAGCGTCTTGATTTCCGGTTTGTTCCAGGCAAGGAACATGACCACCAGGGCAATGATCGCGGCAGCGATCACACCAAAGAAGGGAATGTCCAGATCGAGGCCGATCAGTTCCCCTCCAAGCAATGAAATGACACCGGCGACCAGTGTGAAGATTGCGATGGTGACGCCCATTACCCAGCCCTGTTCTTCGTCGCCTACAGCTGCGGAATAGAGTCCGAGAAATGTCGGATAGGCGATGCCGAAGACGAAGTAAAAACAGAAAACCGGGATGAAGGTCAGGATTGCGACCGGAGACGCCACAAAGGCACCGGCAGAAATGGCCCATACCACGAAGGTTGTTCCGAGGATGGCTTCCTTGCTGAAACGCTTTTGCGCAGGTACGACCAGAAAAGTGCTCGAAAAGGCAAGCGCGACGCCGATTGTCAGCATCACCATGCTGCCGCCGAAAGTGCCGTAACCGAATTTGCTGGTCAGGTAATTGTCCACGAAAATGTAAAAGGACAGGTTGGCGATGTGGAAGAAGAAGACCACCGTCAACCGCACCACAATCGGATAGTTCTTGATCTGCCACAAAAGCTCGAAAATTTCCGCAGGGCGGAAAACGAACGGTTGCCGTTCCGCGACCTTGTCGTGCTGGTCCTTGAAACAGGTGAGGACCAGGAAGATCGCAATCAAAACCAGTACGAAGCAGGCATAGAAAGGGAGTTTGACACTCGCCACGCTTCCCAGAATGGTTGGGTCGGACAGGATGCCGCCGATGATCGGACCACCGACCAGCCCGAAACTGACACCGGTGATGATATAGCCCATGTTCCTGTTCCGGTCTTCGTCATCGACACTGCCGTCGATCATTGCGGCCTGTGCAATTGGCTGGTTGCCGGCGGTCAGGCCGGTAATGGCACGACCGAGAATGAGCAGTAGAAAGCTGTTGAGATAAAGCGCTGCAATTGTCAGCGCGTAGCCGCCAAGGGCGCCGAACAGGCATATAAGGATGGCGTTTTTCCGCCCGATCACGTCCGAAAGCTTGGATATGTAGGGTGCTCCGAAAAACCAGCAGAGAAAGAAAATGCCGATGATCAGGCCGTAGTTGAAATGCCGCGTCGCGTCCGTCGTGTCCTTGGCCAGCATCGATGTGCCGGGTTCCATGATCAGGCTGTTGAGGATCGGAAACACCAACCCTTGCCCCAGAAGATCGACAAAGACGACAAAGAGCATTGTTACTTTGGCGAAAAACGACATCAGCTCCCCCTAACCTGAAAGAGCGTATGCGATATCTGCCGATGCGGCAACGTGAGATCACAACGAATAAAGGCGGGTGAACCCCGCCTTTGATTTCAGATCAAAGCTGAAATCAGACGGCGCGATGCGCGTCGTACTGTCCGTGCTCGCGGAAGCGCTCCAGGTAGGTCGGCAAAATGCTTGCCAGATTTGCCGGGTCGATGCCGATACCTTCCAGGGTCCGGCCTTCTGACTTCGCGGTGTCGGAAACGACATTGTCGGTCTTGAGCAATTCCACCTGGTCCGCCGTGAGCGGCGCACCGGGAAGCAGCTGCATGACTTTTCCCATAGCACTGGCAACAGGGAACGGGATCGGCAGCAGCGCGCGCGAGCGTCGCGTGATCTCGAGCATCTCTTCCAGGCAATCCCTGAAGCTTTTGATTTCAGGGCCGCCGAGTTCGTAGATCCCTCCGGACTGGAGTTGACCGTCTACGGCCTGTGCGACGGCTTGGGCGACATCGCACACATAGACCGGCTGAAACTTGGTGACGCCGCCACCGATCAGCGGAAGGGCCGGGGAGAACCGGGCCATTTCGGCGAACTGGTTGAAGAAATCATCTTCCGGACCGAACACGATCGAAGGGCGCAGGATGACGCTGTCGGCCAGCGTTTCCAGAACGCCGGCTTCGCCGGCGGCTTTGGTGCGTGCATAAGCCGAACTGCTGTCGCTGTTCGCCCCGATTGCAGAAACGTGGGTGATTGCGGAAAGTCCTGCCCCGCGCGCGGCTTCCGCGATAGCCCTGGGCCCGAAGCCCTGAACGGCATCGAATGTCTGGCTTCCCGTCGGTGCCAGGATGCCGACGGCATTGACAACGGCATCCGCGCCGATGATCGCGCGGTCGACCGACCAGCGAAAGCGTAGATTTGCCTGAACCGGCATGATCTGTCCGGGCGCGCCGAGCGGCTGCAGATGTGTTGCCAGATCCGGACGCCGAACCGCGGCTCGAACGCAGTACCCGCGCCGTGCGAGTGCCTGAACGATATGACGGCCAAGAAAGCCTGATCCGCCGAAGACCGTGACGAGTTTGCCATTAAGTGGTGTGGACATCCTGCAATGCCTTCTGTCGCATCCTGAATGGGGCGGGCAAGAGAAGAAACCACGCTCCTTACGAAGTTACTTAGACCTTTGTGCGCCGGGTGTGAAGGGCTCCTTGTGAATGATCAAAAAAAGTCGCACTTGCCGATTGACAAGCAGGGGTCCGGCCCTTACAAGCCGCCCTCACAGCCCAGGTGGCGGAACTGGTAGACGCGCTAGCTTCAGGTGCTAGTGCCCTTATGGGCGTGGAGGTTCGAGTCCTCTCCTGGGCACCATCACTCTTCAAGAGTGTTTCCCGCCAAATACTTAAGCCTGATCAAGGCGTTGCGGTCATCGCAGTGTGTGACCTTGCTGTCTTGTCTTGCAAGCCCAGTGCAGCGCAAAGGGCTTCGTTTTCAGCAATTCGTGAAACATGATCTTGTGGGTCATCCGCAGTGTACATCAGTGTACATCGTCTGTTTCCGGTAACTCATTTAATCAGCACCGTGTCCGCTCCACAAACCGGCATCATGCGGATACAACGTGTACCGATCTGGTGCCTACTCCGCGTTAAACGGTTCTCCGCTCTCATTGACCTGGAGAACGCCAGCGGGCTGCACGCGTGCCGGATTCAAGACACGAAACTGCCGACTATGATCTGCCTCGAAATTCGAGGCGAAGGACAGCCAGAATCGCGGGATGATGGACTTGTTCGGAGGAAGGACACTCAATGATGTCCTTTCCTGTATTGGATAGGCTGGTGAAGCCAGGGGCAGGTCCGGTGCGGGTGGCTGGTATGCCCTTGTTTGCCCTTGTGTGCCCGCGGTCTTCTTTCTCAGGCTAGGTAATATTCCCCACCGGCGGCAAAAGCCCGAGAGCGACGTTCATGCGAACGTGTCAGCAGATCTTGTGAATGTACAATGCCGACAGCGAAGGTTCGCATAGCTGAGCGTGGACAGCCTGACCTTGTTCCGCTGTATGTTTGAGTTTCCGGGCAATGATAAAATCCGCCCTTCGCGAGCCGGCGGCAATATCAGGGTTCGGACCCGACCAGTCGCCGGGCGGTGAACTTGTCGGTGATGAGAATATCGATGACGCCCGTTTTCAATGCGGCGCGGATCGCCCTGGTCTTGGATTGTCCGCCAGCAAGCGCGATAACACGGTCAACTTCCGAATGCTCCTCCAGGGTCATCCCGATGACACGTTGATCCAGGGGTGTTTTCACGTAGTTTCCGTCGGCATCAAAGAAACGCAGGCTGATTTCTCCCACGCCACCGGCTTCCTTTACCTCCGTCAATTCACGCGATGAAAACACGTTACCGCTGCGCGCAAGCATGGTTGAGGGTTCAATCGAACCGATGCCGACAATGGTCAGGCTGAGTTTCCTGAACAGATCCATGGTTTCGCGCACATAGGGATCGCTCAAAAGGACAAGCTTGGCCTCCCGCGACTGGGCAACACCGGGGGTGTTCAGAAGATGCGCTTCTGCGCCCGTCAGCCTTGCCAGCCGTGTTGTCAACTGATTGGCATGGGCCTGTACCCTTGGATCCCCGACACCGCCCATGGTCTGAACCACGTAGCGGGCCTTGCCGTTTTTCATGGGATGAATGTTGTCGACCATTTTCAAAATGGTTTCGGACCAGCTGGAAACACCAATGATTTCGCCGGTCTGGAGCGTGGCTTCCAGAAAATGCGCAGCCGCCTCGCCAATTCGGGACATGATCGCGCCATCACGGTCTTCCGAACATTCAACAACGAACGCTTCGGACAGATCAAAGTCCGCTCTCAGCTGTGCCTCGAGGTCACCATATGTACCTGACGGAGAAACAACCGTTGTGCGGACGATTTCCTCTTCCTGTGCCCGTTTCAGCATGCGGGAGACCGTAGCTTGCGAGATCCGCAGATGCGAGGCAATCGCGGCCTGACGCTGACCTTCGACATGATACATCTGAGCGACGCGGGATATCATGCGAAGCTCATTTAGTCGGGACATCTGTTGTTTCCTGCAGTCAGTTTTGAATAAATATTCACTACACTCTAAGAGTGCTGCGGGCAATCGCGTTTCTCCACATCGCGATGAGCGCGTCGCGGTCGCCCGGTGGCATGCGGGGCGGAATCTCCGCCTTGTGACGAGGGAGTTTTGAAATCGCGTCGAAATCGGGCCAGAATCCAGTCGCCAGGCCCGCCAGATAGGCGGCTCCCAGTGCGGAAAGCTCGGTATCGGTGCCCGGCAGGACCGGCCGTTTTGTCAGGTCGGCCACGATTTGCATCAGGAAGGGATTTCCGCTTGGTCCTCCGTCGACATAAAGGTGTCCAATATTGCTGGACGTGTCTTCCATGATTGCAAGGACATCGCAGACCTGAAAGGCCATGCTCTGGACGGCAGCCAATGCCACATGTTCCCGGCCGGCTGCAAACGACAGTCCGCTGATCAGCCCTCGTGCATGCGAATCCCAGTGGGGCGAGCCCAGTCCCACATGGGCCGGCACCAACGCAACTTCCTTCGTGTCAGAGACGGTTGCAGCAAGATCCAGCAACTCATCGACGCTTTTCAGGCCCAGGAGTTCTGCCGTCCAGGGCAGGATCGACGCACTCACCAGGATGTTGCCTTCAAAGGCGAAGGTTGGGACCTTGTTGATCGACCATGCGATTGTTGTCGTAATGCCTTGTGGCGGAGCAAGAAATTCCGACACCGTAGTCATTACGGACGACCCGGTACCGAAGGTTATTTTTCCATCGCCGATGGCAAACGCTCCATGACCGAACAGGGCAGCATGGGAATCCCCGATCGCCGAGGCGATTGGAATGCCGTCCGGGATGACTTCAGCGCCTTGTGTTTTCCCGAAGACATGGGACGAGTCATGCACTGCCGGCAACATGTCTTGATCGATGCCGAACAAGTCACACAATGCAGGATCCCATCGTGCCTCGGCCAGATTGTACAATTGTGTCCGGGCAGCGTTGGAACTGTCGGTGACGTGGAGCGCGCCTCCGGAAAACTTCCAGATCAACCAGCTGTCGACAGTGCCGATACAGGTTTCCCTTTCCCCAGACGGATAATGCCGTAGCAACCAGGCCGCCTTGGTGGGGGGAAGAGCGGATCAAGAGGCAAGCCGGTTCGGGTGATCACGTCGGCCTCGTGCCCGTCGGCTTTCAACGTGTCACATTCCTCCGCCGTGCGGCGGCATTGCCACGTGATGACGGGCCCGATGGGCTCACCGGTTCTCTTGTCCCAGGCCAGGATGGATTCACGCTGGTTTGAAATGCCCAGGGCTGTGACTTCAGCGTCGGGCGCCTTGTTCAGGCAACTTGCGACAGCCTGTTGTGTCGCCTGCCATATCGCATTGGCGTCTTGTTGCACCCAGCCCGGTTTTGGATGTTCGATAGGAACAGGCGCGGATCCGCTCGCGATGATGCTGCCGTTCTCATCAATCAAGATCGCCTTCGAATTCGTCGTACCTTCATCGATTGCAAGAATCACCTGGCGTGCCATCTGTTATCCTTTTCGGCGCAACAACTCCCTGGCGCTGACTGCAATACTTTCCGCAGCCATCCCGAATTCGTCGAGCAGGAAATTTGCGGACCCCGTGGGAGCGAAGACACCGGGGACACCCAACCGTTTCATTGGGACCGGGTGATGGTCAACGACAACTTCCGCGACAGCACTCCCGAGGCCGCCGAAGATAGTGTGCTCCTCACATGTCAGGATCGCACCTGTTTCCGATGCAGCTGCGATAATTTCATTGGTGTCGATAGGGCGGACGCAGGCCATGTTTATCACTCTGCAGGAAATTCCATGGTCCGCCAGCAACTGTGCTGCGTTCAAGGCACGGTGTGCCAGGACACCATTGGCAATCAGGGTGACATCACCACCCTCGCGCAGCCTGTTCGCCTTGCCGGGTTCAAACACATGGCCGGCCGGTAACAGATCGGGAACCCCGACCCTGCTGAGTCTCAGAAAGCAGGGCCCTTCATTTTCTGCCGCCCATTTCACCGCAGCGGCGGTTTCAATGCGGTCCGCCGGGGCAATCACCGGTACATTCGGCAGGGCGCGTATCCATGCGAAATCTTCAATCGAATGGTGCGTTGCGCCCAATTCTCCATAGGCCATGCCGGCGCTGATGCCCACGAGTTTGACGTTGGCTTCCGAATAGGCCACATCCGCTTTGATCTGTTCCAGCGCGCGGCCGGTCAGGAACGGTGAGGCACCGCAAACGAAAGGCGTCTTGCCACCGTTGGCAAGGCCGGCGCCAACACCAACCATGTTCTGCTCTGCGATACCGACATTGATCAGCCGGTCCGGAAACTTGTCCCTGAAATTGCCCAGTTTGGAAGAGCCGACGGAATCATTGCAAACGGCAACAATATTGTTGTCCGCCTCTCCCAGAGCTTCCAGTGTCGATACAAATGCATCGCGGCAGTCGTGCAGTTTGGAGGTTTCAATCGGAGCACTCATGACAGCGCCTTTTCCAGCTCGCTCATGCCCTGGCGGAATTGTTCCTCATTGGGAACCTTGTGGTGCCAGGCCACATTGTCCGTCATGAATGAAATGCCCTGTCCCTTGTTGGTGTGGGCCACGACACATTTTGGTTTGCCAGTTTCTGTTGTTTCCGGTGCCAGTGCCTTGCAGATCTGCTTCATGTCGTGGCCATCTATTTCCTCAACCATCCAGCCAAAGGCCTCAACTTTCGGAGCAATCGGCGCAAGATTGTTGGTATCGGCCACTCTGGCACCCTGCTGCAGCCGGTTGTGATCGATGATCAGCGTCAGGTTGTCCAGTTTGAACTGGGCGGCTGCCATGATGGCTTCCCAATTGGAGCCCTCCTGCATTTCCCCGTCACCGGTGATCACGAATACCCGCCAGCTGTCACCGTTCAGCTGCGCAGCTTTCGCCATTCCGACTGCAACGGGCAGTCCATGACCCAGCGGACCAGTGTTTGTTTCAACTCCGGGTACCTTGGTCCGGTTCGGATGACCGTTCAGCCGTGAGTGAGGTTTCAGGAATGTCGCAATCTCGCTTTCCGGGATAAATCCTTTTTTCGCCAGCGTGACATAAAGCGCAAGTGCGGTGTGACCCTTGCTCAATACCAGTCTGTCCCGTTGTGGATCCAGCGGTGCATCCGGATTGACCGACATGGTGTGAAAATACAGTGCGGTGAGCAGGTCTGTCACCGACATCTCTCCGCCAATATGCCCGGCACCGGCTTCGTAGACAGCCTGCAGATCACGTTTGCGGATCCAGTTTGCAATTTTGCGAAGTTCTTCGGGACTCATGCTATCCTCTGCATATTTATGCATCTATTATTTAATATGCAGAAATCCTGATTGTCAACAAGAGTGAATGCAGCAATTAGAGAATCGAGGCCGCGCTATTTTGCCATTCCCTTGCCTTGACAGGTTTTTTTCAATTTGTTACGGATATAAAGTCATTATTGCATAATTATTCTATGTCTGAATGGGGATCGGATGCAATCGACCGAAGACACGAACAGCGCGATGATCAAGGCCTCTTCCGGTTTACGCGGTGCGTTTTCGTTCGGAGGTGCGACCGGGCCGTTGATCGGGCTGATTTTACTGTGTGCATTCCTGTCCATTGCCACCGACTCCTTCCTTTCCTTCCGCAATTTTCTGAACATTCTCGACCAGATCACGGTGCTGGGCATCATGGCTGTCGGCATGACTTTTGTGATCCTGATTGCGGGGATCGACCTTTCGGTTGGCTCGGTGCTTGCGCTGTCGATGATGGTGCTCGGATTTCTCAATGTTGAAGCTGAATTGCCTATGGCCATTTCCATCGGCGGTGCACTCGTCGCATCGGCGCTTGTGGGAGTTGTGGCGGGGCTTCTGATTACCGAATTCAAGGTGCCGCCGTTCATTGCAACGCTCGCGATGATGTCCATCGCACGGGGGTTGGCGAACATGATTACCAACGGATCCCAGATTATCGGCTTCCCGGCATGGTTCAACATGGGTGCCATCATTCGCCATGGCGGTGTGCTCACGACAACGGTTGCAGTAATGCTCGTCGTCTTCGTGGTGGCGCTGCTGTTCCAGCGCTACCGTGAAGGTGGCCGCATGCTCTATGCCATCGGGGGGAACCCGGAAGTCGCGAGACTTGCCGGCATCAACGTCAAGCGGGCGACAGTTCTCACATACACCGCATGTGCAGCGCTTTCCGGGCTCGCCGGTGTTCTTCTGGCAGCGCGCCTTGACGCGGTGCAGCCAAGTTCAGGCGTCGCATACGAACTCGACGCAATCGCGGCCGTCGTCATTGGTGGAACAAGCCTTGCCGGCGGCACAGGTGGTGTCGGGGGCACGATCATCGGTGTCTTGATCATAGGCGTTCTCAGAAACGGGCTGAATCTCTTGAGCGTATCACCGTTTTTGCAAGCCGTGATTATCGGCTTGGTCATCGTGCTCGCGGTCGCGGCAGAGACATTCAAGCACAGAAACAAATAAGACAGGGGCTTCGGCCTCGCGAGGAAGGCCCGTCTATCGGGTTTGTAATAGGTCCATAAGACAAAACGGGCCACCAACGGAGGAGCAGGAATTCTATGAAAACCGCATTTAAAAGCATGATTGCGGCGGCAGCGCTCGTTGCTGCAGCAGGAACCGCCTCGGCAGAAGGTGTCGGCATCAAGAAGATAGGTCTTGCAGTTCCCAACCTGCAGGCTGACTTCTTCAACCAGATCAAGCTCGGCGTGGAGGGCTATGCCGGCAAGCTCGGTATTGAAGTTATCGTTGTTGATGCCAAGAACGATACCGCCACACAGGTGAGCCAGGTTCAGGATTTGCTCACGCAAGGAATTGATGCGTTCATCTACATTCCTGCCGGGGCGGCGGCTGCTGCGGTTCCGACCCGCCTTGCGCGCGCGGAGGGTATTCCTGTCATCAACGTTGACCGTGAGCCTGAGGGCGCTCCCGGTGATACGGTTATTTATGGCGAGAACGTTCTGTCCGCGTATCAGGTTTGCGATCACATTATCGGCCTGGCTGAAGGCAAGGGAAAAATGGTCGTTATCCATGGCCAGAAAGGAACGACTCCCGAAGTTCAGCGTTTCGAGGGCTGCAAGATGGCCATCGACGAGAATCCTGGCGTCGAGCTTGTTGCTCAGCAGTGGAGCCAGCAGTGGTCACCGGACGAGGGCTTTCAGATTGCCCAGAACATGTTGCAGGCAAATCCTGATATCAGCATCATCTTTGGGCAGGCTGACGGCCTGGCCATGGGCGCTGCAAAGGCCGTCGAGGTCGCAGGCCTTGCCGATCAGATCGTGGTCGGCGGATATGACGGCGACGGTGCCGCGCTGGAGTCGCTTGTGGCGTGTGACACCCCGTTCATCGTGACTGCGACGCAAAGTACACAGGCCATGGGTGTTCTGGCGGTGAACTCTGCCATTGCGGTCGCAAATGACGCGTCGGTGCCTGCACGCCAGATTCCGAATGCCGTGCTGACAACATGCGACGACGCTGCGAAGTTTGTTGAAAAGCACCCTTAAGGCCTTTTGAGCCAACAAGGCATTAGCATGAGCAGCGCCATGACGATCGACGGCAAGAATCCGGTTCTTTCCCTTCGGAACATTCATAAATCCTTTGGATCGATTGAAGTTCTGCACGGGATCAATCTGGACGTTGCAGCCGGAGAAGTCGTGGCGCTTCTTGGCGAAAATGGCGCTGGAAAATCTACTTTGTCGAACATCATCTCCGGGACGATCCTTCCATCGTCAGGCGGGATGACCTGGCTGGGTGCACCTTACGCACCCGCCACACCGCGTGACGCAATTGATGCAGGGGTCGCGATGATCCACCAGGAGTTAATGCTTCTGCCGCACCTGTCGATTGCAGAGAATATCTTTGTCGGCCGATATCCCATGAAGGCGGGTCGGCTTGACCGCGGAGAAATGGATCGGCGTGCACAGGCAGGGCTGAAACGCCTCGGTCTTGAAATTTCCCCGCGCCGTCCTGTGGAAGGACTTTCGACGGCCAGTCAGCAGTTGATCGAGATTGCCAAGGCGCTGACGTTGAATGCGAAACTTCTCATACTTGACGAGCCGACGGCTGCGCTGGGCAGTGAAGAAACAAAGCTGTTGTTCGAGCAGATCGAACGATTGAAATCGGAAGGTGTCGGGATCATCTACATCTCCCACCGGCTGGAGGAGATCAAACAGATTGCCGACCGTATCGTCGTCATGCGTGATGGCGAGAAAGTTCAGGAATTCGATTCTGCCGACGTTCCCATCCGCACCATAGTTGAGGCGATGGTCGGGCGGAGCATGGAGCAGATGTTCCCGCCACTGGCCAGACCAGAGGACAGCCAGGTCTTGAAAGTGTCGGGCTTGACCTCACCCACCGGCCGATTCCGGGACGTGAGTTTCTCTGTGCGAAAGGGCGAAATATTCGGCATCGCCGGACTGGTTGGAGCCGGTCGCACGGAGCTCGTTCGTTCCATAGCCGGCGCGGATCCCATTCAGACGGGAACCGTCGAGTTGAACGGGAAAGATATAACGCCGAAATCTCCCGGACAGGCAATTCGCAACGGCATTATACTGGTTCCCGAGGACCGCAAGCTTCAAGGCGTGATCCTCGATCATTCCATTCAGGAAAACATCGCCTACTCCAACTTCGAATCCGTCAGCAAATCCGGATGGATGTTGAACCGGCGGGTGAAAAAATTCGCGAGCGAAAACATCAGGAAATTTGGCGTCAAGGGAATTGGCAGCCAGATGGCCAATGAAATGTCCGGCGGCAATCAGCAGAAAATAGTCATCGCAAAATGGCTCGCCCGAAATCCGGACGTCGTTCTGCTCGACGAGCCGACCCGTGGCATCGACGTCGGCGCGCGATCTTCAATTTATGAACTGATCCACGGCCTGGCCGCGCAAGGTGTCGCGGTTGTCGTTGTAAGCTCCGATCTTGAAGAAGTGCTGGGTGTTTCCAACCGCATCATGGTCATGGCGGCCGGACGGCAGGTGGGGATCCTCGACCATTCGGAAGCAAACGACGTTTCCGTCATGGAACTGGCGACGGCCTAGTTCTCAGGCCCATAAATCAACGAAGGAATCTTCATGGAACGTTTCAAGGGCAAGACCGTCGTTGTCACCGGCGGCAACAGAGGTATCGGATTTGCCATTGCAGGCAGGTTCGCAGCTGAAGGGGCCAATGTCGTGATCGGGTCGGTCGAAGAGGCCGTCGCGGACGCAGCAGCCGAACTTTGTGCAATGGGTGCAAGGGCGGTCGGCGTTCTTTGTGATGTAACCGACCGCGATGCGGTTGTCGCGATGTATGATCGCGCAGAGCGTGAGTTCGGCTCAATCGATGTGTCTGTGCAAAACGCTGGGGTTATCACCATTGCCAGAATCGAGGACATGACCGAGGCGGAATGGGACTTGAACCTCAACGTCAACACCAAGGGGGCATTTTTGTGTTGCCAGGAAGCCATCCGGCGCATGCGCAAGACTGGCGGTGGAAGGCTGATTAACATGGCATCCGGACAGGCCCGAGACGGATTTATTTATACGCCTCACTATGCGGCTTCGAAATATGGCGTGATGGGCATGACCCAAAGCCTTGCCAAGGAAGTTGCACTCGACAATATCACCGTCAATGCGATCTGCCCCGGCATCATCAAATCCGACATGTGGGACTACAATGACCGGGTCTGGGGAAAAATGATGGGTGATTTCGGTCCGGGTGAGCTGATGGCCAGCTGGGTCCAGAACATCCCCATGAAACGGGCGGGAGAGGGCAAGGATGTCGCAGGCCTCATTGCCTTTCTGGCCAGCGAAGACGCAGACTACATCACCGGTCAGACGATCAATGTGGATGGCGGTCTGATCATGTCCTGAAGTCGTTCCTGGTGGCTGGGGTATCTTATGAAAAACATCGATTTGAATGCGCCTAAACTGTTTGATCTTTCAGGCAGTGTTGCAATGGCTACAGGCGCCGGCAGCGGCATTGGACAACGCATTGCCATCGGGTTGGCCCAATGCGGTGCGGATGTCGCGCTGCTCGACCGACGCACGGATGACGGATTGGCGCAAACCGCCGAGCTCATCGCGAGAGCAGGACGAAGGTCCCTGTCGATCTCGGCCGATGTCACATCCTCAAAAGCTCTTGCCGATGCAGTGTCGCAAACCGAAGCCGGGCTGGGATCGCTTAATCTGGCTCTCAATGCGGCGGGAATTGCGAATGCCAACCCATGTGAGAACATGGAAGAGGAGCAGTACCAGACCCTCATGGACATCAACATGAAGGGTGTCTGGCTCTCCTGTCAGGCCGAAGCCAGGGCGATGATCGCCCATGGCAAGGGCGGATCAATCGTCAACATAGCGTCCATGTCCGGCGTGATCGTCAACAAGGGTCTGAACCAGGTCCACTACAACGCCTCGAAAGCAGGCGTAATCCAGATGTCGAAGTCCATGGCCATGGAGTGGGTCGGCAAGGGTATCCGGGTGAATTCCATCAGTCCCGGCTATACTGCCACTCCGATGAACACACGACCCGAGATGGTGCATCAGACAAAGGAATTCGAAGCCCAGACACCCATGGGCAGAATGGCAAATGTTGACGAGATGGTTGGCCCGGCGGTGTTCCTGCTATCGGATGCAGCTTCCTTCTGCACAGGCGTCGATCTACTGGTGGATGGCGGATTTTGCTGCTGGTAGAGCATTGCCGAACCATCAAAACCATTTTGTCGCTACGCATCCGGATTTGCTTGAAACCTGTCCAGAGAAATCATGCGGCAACACGCAAGCGGCGTACGCTGTTCCTTTCATGAACTGCATTGTCCTGGGCAATCAATCCAATTCGGCAGGTGGCAAAAAATGGAACATGGCGCCTGGGTGTGGGCCTTAACGGAACCGATCGGTGTCCGACTTCATATGTTTTGGGACAAATTGAGGCCTGATTTATAGGAGGTTCTGGCTCATCAGGTTAGTAATATTATGCGGCTGCCTTTCGGTCGTGCAAGTGTCGTTTTCTTATGGTGTCCTGTTTGATCTTTTCCCGTTGTTTGAGGATGTCCTGGCCACGTCCGAAGAAGACATCGGCCGGAGTGAGATTGCCAAGGCTCTCGTGATAACGCCGGTGATTATAATGGTCGACGAAGGCCTCGATTTGGTGTTTCAGGTCCCCGGGCAAGAAGTAGTTTTCAAGCAGGATCCGGTTTTTCAGGGTCTGGTGCCATCGCTCGATTTTGCCCTGTGTCTGGGGATGGTTGGGGGCTCCACGCGTATGTTCCATGTTCTGACCTTCCAGCCAGAGCGCCAAGTCGCTGGCAATGTAACACGGGCCATTGTCGGACAAGAGCCTGGGCCGTTGCCTGACCTTAGCGCTACCGCAGCCTGAGGTCTGAAGAGCCAGTTCCAGCGTATCGGTCACATCCCCGGCTTTCATCGTGGTGCAGAGCTTCCAGGCAATGATGTACCGGGAGAAGTCGTCCAGGATGGTCGACAGATAGAACCAACCCCAGCCGAGAACCTTCAAATAGGTGAAGTCGGTTTGCCAGAGTTGGTTCGGCGCGGTCGTCTTGTCCTTGAATTCATCGGCGGCTTTAATGACGACAAAGGCCGGGCTGGTGATCAGGTCGTGCACCTTGAGAAGCCGGTAAACCGAGGATTCGGACACGAAGTAGCCCTTTGTATCGGTGAAGGCCACCGCCAACTCGCGCGGCGATAGATCCGGCCGCTCCAAGGCAAAGTCGACAATCTGTTGCCGGATCTCATCAGGGATGCGGATCCAGACCGAACCAGGATGTGGCTTGCGATCCTCAAGAGCTGCGACACCACCGTCAAGGAAACGATCGTACCAGCGATTGAATGTCGAGCGGGGAATGCCCAGAGTCTCCAGCGTGCGTTTCGCCGAAAGATGGGATTGCTCGACAAGGCGGATGATCTCCAGTTTTTCGGATGCGGGGTATCTCATTCCTCGCCGCCCCCATCCCCGATCATGCTTTTTTTGAGAAGGCGTAGTTCCAAGGCCTGTTCGGCCACCACCTCCTTCAGATCCCTGGACACCTGGCGCAGGGTCTTGACCTCATCACTGGTGGCCGCTCGGGCCGTGTCACCGGCCAGCCGCTTTTTGCCCGCTTCAAGGAATTCCTTGGACCAGTTGTAGTAGAGGCTCTCAGCGATACCTTCGCGCCGGCACAAGGCGGCGATGCTCTCTTCGCCCCGTAAACCTTCAAAACAATCCGGATCTTCTCTTCTGCCGAAAAACGCCGACGCGTCACTCGGCGGATGTCCTTGATCATCTTGTTTGCCGGCTCTTTCTCAGGCCCGGATTTCCGTCTCATCTTCGCTCCTTGATCAGCTACGATGAGCCAAAAATCCTCCTCTATGCAAACTCTTCAATTTGTCCCATTGGCGATGAAGTCGAACACCATGATGAAGACTGTCACCGGCGACCAACCTGATCTGAAGATGGTCAATCCGAGAGCTGCCGCGATCGGCATCGGTTCGACCATGCATATGGCTGCAGCGAACCCCGACAGTGACGATATGCCGATACGCACATTCGGCACGTTCACATAGGATTTGCATGATCTTGCCGAATGGTTCCAGTCCTGCGGTGTAACCAGCGTTGCGATGGAATCTACCGGGGTCTACTGGATCCCGACCTTCGAGATTCTCGACCAGCATGGCTTTGAGGTCACTCTTGTGAATGCCCGATATGCCAAGAACGTTCCAGGCCGAAAGACCGACGTCAGCGATGCCGGATGGCTCAGGCAGCTCCATTCCTACGACCTGTCACGCAGTAGCTTTCGCCCTTCGGCAGATATTGCGAGGCTGCGTGCCTATCTGCGGCAACGTGAGCGGCTGGTGGAATACGCTGCCGCTCATATCCAGCACATGTAGAAGGCTCTGATGGAGATGAACCTACAACTGCATCATGTTGTTTCGGACATCACTGGAGCAACGGGAATGCGGATCATCCGTGCCATCGTGGCAGGCGAACGGGATCCGGATGTGTTGGCATCCCTCCGCGACGTCCGCTGTCATTCATCGGTTGAGACAATCCGCGCATCGTTGGTCGGTTATAACCGGGACGAACATATCTTCGCCCTGACCCAGTCATTGGAGCTCTATGACTTCTACCAAAAGAAAATGCTGGAATGCTACCGTAAGCTGGAGGCGGCCATCTCGGCCTTGACGATTCGTGCTGAACAGCAGCTGCCGCCCCTGCCGAAGTCAAGGATAAAGACTAAGCAGGTAAATGCGCCGTCCTTTGATGTTCGAGCCGCCCTTTATGAGGTTCTCGGCGTTGATCTGACCCAAATCCATGACCTCGGTCCTTCACTTGCGCTCAAGCTGATCGGGGAATGCGGCGCAAATCTGCGGGCATGGCCGAGCGCCAAGCACTTCACGTCTTGGCTGTGCCTCGTACAAGGCAACAAGATCTCGGGTGGCAAGCTTCTCTCATCACGGACGAGCCGATCTTCCAGTCGAGCCGCGGCACTGCTGCGATTGGCCGCCGTCACGATCGAGCGAAGTGATACGGCGTTAGGCGCGTTCTATCGCCGCCTCGCAGCGCGGATCGGAAAGCAGAAGGCGGTCACGGCAACCGCTCGCAAGATCGCTGTCCTCTTCTACAACACCTTGCGCATCGGCATGACTTATCGCGATCCCGGTGCAGTGGCCTATGACGAGTGGCATCGAGGCCGTGTGCTTGCCAATCTCCAACGCCACGCCAAGACGCTCGGATATTCCTTGGCGCCAATGCGTGATGCCGAGTGTGTTTCTTAGGAAGGCAACCGCGTACTTCGCCAAGGATGCAAAGTGAGGTACGCGTTCATCGATGAAAATCGCTCTGTGTTTTCGGTGCGAGCGATGTGCCGCTGTCTGCGCATCCATCCAAGCGGCTTTTACGCCTGGCTGAAGAACCCGCTGAGCAAGCGAGCCCAGGAAGACATCCGCCAGACCGGACTGCTGTGCAAGGCCTGGGAGGAGAGCGGTAAGGTCTATGGATATCGCAAGCTTCATGACGATCTGCTTGATCAGGGAGAGTCGTGCTGCCTGAACCGTGTCGCGCGTCTTGCCCGGCTGGCCGGGATCAAGGCCCAGATCGGATACAGGCGGCGACCGGGCAGCTATGGCGGTAAACCTTCCATGGTCATCGACAATAGCCTCGACCGACAGTTCGATGTGGAGCAACCCGACAGGGTCTGGGTGACAGACATCACCTACATCAGGACACTGGAAGGCTTTGCCTATCTTGCTGTCGTGATCGACCTCTTTTCTCGCCGTGTTGTGGGCCTCCTCTCGGCGTTGCAAGCAACGCCTGCCGGGCAATGGGTCGATGCAGAGCCGTCAGACCACAGATGTCGTGTTGCAGGCGCTGCTGATGGCGGTATGGCGGAGGAAGCCGAAGAACAGGGTTCTGATCCATTCGGATCAGGGATCGCAGTTCACGAGCATGGATTGGGCATCATTCCTTAGTGCTCACAATCTGGAACACTCAATGAGCCGGCGCGGGAACTGTCACGACAACGCTGTTGCCGAAAGCTTCTTCAACCTGCTCAAACGGGAAAGGGTGCGGCGACGAACCTACAAAACCCGCGAAGACGCGAGGCGGGATGTGTTCGACTACATCGAGATGTTCTACAACCCAAGGCGCAAACACGTCAGAAACGGGATGCTGTCGCCCATAGAGTTCGAACGGCAGCAGAAAATGAAAGCCGAGGGCGTCTAGAAAACGCGGGGCTATTCAGGGTGATATGACCGTCCAAAACGAATTGTCCTGAAGATTAGAAATTATTGAGTAAGCCTTAGTCAAGGGGCTTTAGCTCACATTCTCTTTTGCGATTTGGTCCCTTTATTCTGCACGCGACTTCGGCTCAGAGTAAATAACCTTTTCGTCGAATGGCTCCTAAACCTCAATCGGAATCTCTCTCGCCATCCCAAAGCTCATCGTGATTGCGGTGGCAGTCGGTCAGGCCATCCTCGAAGAATTTCTCGTAATAGGGAATTTCGACGTGATGCACCTGTAGCCAGACGCCAGGCACGTGAATGGCTTCGCAATGAGCCGGGAAGCGACCGTGGGTGTCGTAGATATAGTTGCAGACATCCCGGGTACAACTGATTACATCCTGATTGTATTCGGCAGCTTCCTGCAGGTAGCGTTCGCCAAAATCACCCTTGTAGATCTTCTTGAAAGTGTCCCTGTCCTGGTAGACGCCACCGTCTCCGAACTTCCTGGCAAGCACCGCGTCGACCGCATCGCTCATGTTGGCATAATTGGGCGGGCACTTGGCGACGATCAGGTCTTCGCCATTGTGGCGCAGGGCGACGGGATGGGACCGCAGATTGGCAAAACGCGGCAAGGGGACATGCCACCGCAGAATGTCCGGCAGCCGCCATCGGGGTATGTGATGGTCAAATCCCAGCATGGGTCCGTACCGGTCGCTGAATTTTGGATCGCCCGTCAGAACAGGCGGACTGATGGTGGCGTGTATCCAGGCACCAAGTCCCATGGCCTCGGCCACGAGAAACAGGTTCTGCAGGAGGAGGGGTGCTTCCAGCTGGGTTCTGAGAGACCCGATCACGCCGAGTGGAACCTTGATGTCATCATTCAGGAACTTGCGGCGAACCCAGTTCTTGACGCCGGCGGAAAAGTAAAAATTCCGGTCGTCTACGAGCGCCGGTCTCGAACCGTCCGGCTGGGTCAGAAGATACATCAGGCCGTTGATATATTGATGCGAAAGGTCGACGACCGGGACCAGGATCGTTGTCCCCGGCAGATTTGACAAGAGGCGGTTGGAATCCAGATAGGCCGGAAAGTTGCGCCCTCCCTGTTCAACATCCAGCCGCTTGTCGAGCAAACGGACTTTCGCCTGGTTCGCGCGCTCGATCAGCAACTCGGGCGAAAACGGTTCGCTGCTTGGCGGCAACTGCCTGAGGAAATAGGTACCACTGTCGTTGATCAGGAAAAAATGCGTTCCCTGTGCATTGTCGGGGCTTCCCGCGGTTCGTCCGGTCATGGTGAGGTTGGGTTTGGCCATGACCAGCCGACCGGTCTCGGGGTCCTGGAACGGCCGGTCCGGCATCGTCAGACCTGTTGCGCCGGTCATGGCAATCAGGATGGCTTCCTCGAGATCGGACAGGGGTTTGGGCTCCTGACCGGAACGGTAGGTCATCGATCCCGCGGCGACTTCCTCCACGCCGCGTGGAACCCTGTGGGTTCTGCGGCGCCAGATGGTTTCCAGCAACGGCCGCGCGAGGAGGTCTGCCAATCCCTTGTGAATATCCGCCTGCTTGTTCATCTCAGGTCTCCGTTACTTTGGCCGGTACTTGGACGATCGCCCGCACCAGGGCCGCGCCGACAAGTGTGCCGGCAAAAACAAAACCCAGGATCTGGATCGCGCCCCCTCTCAGGATGACAAGGGTCAGGGCGAAGATTAGAAAAGCGAGCAGTCTGGCGATTAGTTGGAACCAGAAGGACTGCATTCTGGCTGGCAGCAGCCAGATCATCAGAACATCGAGTGTCCAGACGCCGAGCAGCAGGAAATTGCCGCCCGCGATCAACGTTCCCTGTTGTACGAAGGTATCGGCTACACCGTCGAAAATTATGAAGATCGCCCAATAGGCATGCAGCACGAACAGCACCCAGGCACCTGTCCAGAAAAGATAGGCCAGATTGGCGACCGTCTGGCCGGCGGTCCTGATAAGCCACAGGCCAAGCGCCGGGATCAGCAGGAATGTGGTCGCCCAGATGGTCAGCTTTGTGCGACCCATCTCAAGGTCACCATCCAGCTCCGGCGCAATCATGCACCAGATGATCAGAAGGCCTGCCGATAGGTTCACTATGGTGATTTGCGCAAGCGCCAGCGCGGTAGGTTTGTCACGGGTCATGGCGGACCTCACAGGGTTTTCAGGTATGCAAGCAGGTCGGACAGGGCAGCCGGATCCCGCTCCGGGTCGTCGATCGCCCACGGGTAGTTATGCCCCGCATTCGAATTTCCCGGTGCTGACGTCTCGAACAGGAAGTAACGCCGGCTGTCTTTTGCCGATGGGCTGGCAAATCCTGCACGGTCGGTGTCGTAGGTGTTCCAGCCGCGATAGAACTGGGCCCGCCTCGGCTCGAGATTGATGAGCTCTGCCAGGGTCAGAATGCTCGCATTGTGCAGGAACGGTGCTCTCAAAAAGGCGCCGTCGACCGGCCCCGCCACGTAGCCGCGAATGGCCAGATTGTCGGCGTCCTGGGGTTGAGGATGAACCTCGTCGCGAGCGAAGGCGAAGGGATGCTCCTTCGGAAAATAGGCGTGGAGCGCATCCGGCATCTCGCCATAGTGGCGGAACATGACCCGTTCGGGGTCGGTGCCGATTTCAGACAAGGGGATCACTTCATGCGTTCTTTCACCCGGTTCCCACCCTTCGCCGGATCGGTCGCCATGGCAGGACATGCAAGAATTCCTGTAGACCTGCCGTCCGCGCTGCACGGCACCCGGGTCGGGTTGCCCGGCTTCGGGAAACAGGTCCTGGAATTTGGGCGGTGCGAGCGAAATCGTGTAGGCGATCGCTTCGCGAATATTGTGCACGATCTCGGGGTGGGCGAGGTTGACCTCGGTCGCGCCGGCCGCGACGGCAGCAAGCGAACTGCGCGCTTCCACATTCGAAACAGATCCGTCGAACTGAGCCCGTTCGCGCCAGCCCTGATTGTAGATTGTCGCGATCTTGGAGTGGATCGGCAGGTTGTTGGCCGGGTAGTGCATCACGTTTCGAAGCAACGTGCGAAAGGCCAGTGTTCGGGTCGGCCCTGTGGGAGTGACATCTTCATCTCGCGAGCGGCCATTGCCGTATGGCTCGTCAAATCGCTCGATGTTTGCAAGAAGGCGTTCCCGGATCTGACGGAGCCACAGGCCGGTCATGATCCGTTCGGGCAGGCTGAGGCTCTTTCCCGTCTTTTCCTCGTAAGTGGCCATGATTGCCGGCACCGTCAGCCGGAACGGGGCGTCTTCCACCGGTTCTCCAGGAGCCGTCGGCATGCGTTCGATCAGCGACGACTGGAAGGCATCCAGCCACGCGAAAAGGTTGATGGAGACGCTTCCGGGGCCAAGCAACCGAACGGGTTCTGCGCCATCGGACGTGCTGAATTCGGTTGTGTGGCAAAGCGCGCAGGTAAGCGCGACGAACGGCACCGGCGATGGGGCCGCCGTCTGCGGCCGGTAGTTGGTCGTGGTAAACCCGACAGGAAGGCCGTCGGGATTGTCCGGATCGTCCAGAAATCCGAATTGTTCCACCCAGTTGCCGGCCTCCTGGCCGCCAGGCTGGAAATGATGCGGAAACAGATCCGGCAGGACGAGCGCCACGGGCAGCGGCATGACTTCGGTCCCGATCGTGCCATTGCGAAACGCCTGAGGCGCATCCCGATAGATCGGCTTGGCCCAGCCTCGTTCGATGTAAACAAGGTAGCCGGTCGCCAGAACGGCGATCAGAATGGCGATGTTCAACACCCAAAGGGCGACCCGCCAGACATAGTTGAGACGAGGGACGGAGACTGGCATGAGCTGTTCTCCTCAGGTCTGCCGAGGGCGCCAGGGCGCAAAGGCACTTTGTCCCGTGGGCAGGACACTCGCAAATTCAGGGAAATGACGCAGGATAATGCTCGTCATCGTATTTTCCTGAACCCAGGCAATTCCAAGCGGTGAATAGATTTCCGGTCGGAAATCGACAGTCAGGAAACGGTCGGATTGCAATCTGCGGGTCGCCATCAGGATGAAGATCCGGAAGGCGGTGTCGGAGAAGCCGAAACCCGGTGGTGGCGTTTCCGCAAATAGACCGACCATCGTGTCGACATTGTCGAACGAGCCGTAGATGTCCTTGAGGAGCCGCACATCCTCGCTGTTCGCCGTGATGTCTTCCCATCGCCGGATCGGTGGCTTGTGAAGTCCCTGACGAAACTTGTTGTACCGCGGTATCCCTCGCGAGCGCTCCCGCACGAGATCGACGACCGACAGGTCTATGATCTCGGTCTTGAGGTCCGGCGATGTACGGGTAAAGTGCTGAAGCGACCTGGGATAATTGTGGAGCGTGATCGCACCCGGATGTGAGTTGCCCATGGAATAGAGCACGTCGGACAGCCCGACCCTGCGCATCACTTCGTCCGTCCTGATCCCCTGGATATCATTGAATTCCAGTTTCTCCCGGAAACCGCCGGTCGCGGAATCGTAAATATGATAGTCGTCAGGCAGGAGCGGATGCAGCCGGTAGACCGTGACAAAGTCTTCGGTCAGGCAATATCGCGCGTTGTGATGGTCCGGAAGCGTTTCGGGAATGCCACGCAGTGCGTGGGCTTCCTGAAGCCACAGACCCATCCGGGTGAATGCGCCGCCCGGACCGGACCAGTTCGCATTCAGGGCGACATCGATTTCCGGAGTTGCCAGAATGGCGGGCGTCCATTCAGCCGTATGGATCTTGGCAATCAGCGCGGAGATCACCAG